GATGATATTATCATCACAGGAAGTGACAAGGAAGGTATCATCTCTACTAAAGCTTTTCTTAAGTCTACCTTTGATATTAAAGATTTGGGTGAGCTAAAGTACTTTCTAGGGATAGAAATATGCCGCTCTAAAGAGGGGCTTTTCTTATCTCAAAGAAAGTACACACTTGATCTTTTAAATGAGGCAGGAAAACTTGGAGTAAGAGTAGCTAAAACACCACTAGAAGAAGGTTACAAAGTCTTGCGTGAGGGGGAGTTTGAAGACAAACCATTTGGAGACTTCAAACTCTATAGAAGGATGGTTGGGAAGCTGCTTTACCTTACCATTACAAGACCAGATATCTGTTTTGCTGTGAACCAAGTCAGCCAGCATATGCAATCACCTAAAGTTCATCATTGGAATATGGTGGAAAAGATTATGAGATACCTAAGGGAGGCCCCGAGACAAGGTGTTTGGATGGGATGCAACAAGAGCACAGAGATTGTGGGATATTGTGATGCAGATTGGGCTGGTGATAGAGTGGATAGGAGGTCTACTACAGGTTATTGCACCTTCATTGGAGGCAATCTAGTTACATGGAAAAGCAAGAAGCAAAAGGTGGTATCATGTTCAAGTGCTGAGGCAGAATATAGAGCAATGAGGAAACTGACTAGTGAACTCATTTGGATCAGAAACTTGCTAAGAGACTTGGGCATAGAAACATCAACGCCAATTACCATGCATTGTGATAACCAGGCAGCCATTCATATTGCTTCAAACTCAGTGTTTCATGAAAGGACAAAGCATATTGAAGTGGATTGCCACAAAGTGAGACAAGCCGTAGAGCNTGTCCCATTGGGTTTTTCTATACAAAAGGTTTTAACGAGGGATGTTTTCATGGTTCCAAGCTTTACCATTAGGCATGGCAAAGCTTGAGGGGGAGTATTAAATTAAATAAATAAATTAGTTATTTATTCTAGCTTCTCTAGTAAGCCAAGTGTGTTTGGTTACTAGAATAAGAATACTCTATCTCTTTATAACTCTTTGTAACGTTATTTTTGAGATCTAAGGAAAAAGTTTCTCCTTCTTTACTTTTTTCTCTCATCTCTCTCTTGTTCTTCAATCTCAAAGCTTCACTTTCTTACAGTACTGTTATGTCGCATCATGTGACATAGCCACCCTAAACGAAACGAACCACCCCATGTGATTGATTGACACCACCAAAACTAGTTATACTAATATTCAGCTAGAGTTTGATACCAAAAAAGTAAGTTAATAAGCTATACTTTACTTTGAAAATGGATAACAGAAATGGTTTGTTTATTAACAAAAGAAAACTTTGATCGTGTATATAAAATATGTAAATCTAAGTTCCAGGTCCAATGTTTAATCTTTGATAATAGACGATATATACGTTGTACCTTTACTCTCATTTACTAACCAGAATTGACATTTTTTTAGCTAAAATTTTGGAACATATTTGACATTTTTGATATCCCTTTTTCATATGGCTTTCTTGATATCTTATGTCGATACTCGTATCATGTCTCATCAGCTTGCATAAGAAACTATATAAAATGAGGATAACTAGTGAAATCATTTGGAAAAGGAAAAATAGAGTGGTCCAGTGAGCATAAATATTTCTGGTAACACGATGTGACATGACATATAAAGATGATTTATAAAAGGAAGGAGAAGAAGGAAACCATGGAAGTGAGTGAAGAGGGTCTGGTGAAAGAGACTGATGACTGACTCTTAACAATTTCGAACTTGGGGCACTGAAAATCATGGCTGTAATAGTTTTTTCATCATTTCATTTTGGTTTTACGTGTAAATGAAACCACACCCACTTCTGCTGCTCTGCTCGAATATGATAATGACGTTTCTTCGCTTATTTCCCTCTATACATTTACATCATTGTATTTCTTTCTCTTTTACATGAATGGGGGTGAACGTTTTGTTTTTGAGTTTGCTCCTCCCATTAGCACACAGTCCCTCAATTTTACGACCCTGCCCAAAGAAACTTAAAAAGGATGTGAGTTTGGTTCTAAAAGAGCCTATTTTACAATTCCATTAGTTCCTTCATTTGTATATCAGAGCTAGTCGTTTGAGGTGGGATGGTTTGTCATAAGAATCAGTAACTCATAATCCGATTCACGAAAATGTTATTTTGACGCAAAAAATACCGCTTTAGATTTCTAGTATAATTTATATTAGTTTTAGACTTTTAGTATTAGTTTCATAATGCTTTCATGATTTGGATAAATTTATTTGTGACAAAAACTATAGGTTAGACAAATGTAACTATTAAGATCATAGTAAATTTTAATCATTCTTAATTTATGTGAACAATATTAAAGTAACACACTTCATGAAACAGATAAAGAATATATTAATCATACTATAATATTAGGGATTTTTTTTCAAAAATCACTTAAATTTTACTGCCAAACACAAAACTAACTCTTATTATGTGAGAAAATGACATTTATAATGAATATCATATGGTACATTTAAATAACATAGATAGTGAGACATAATTATAACCTTAGAGAAAATTGATTGTTATGGTATCCAATAAACCCACATGGCAAACATGCAAACGTTTAACTCGTAATTATTACTCGCACCAAATATCTCGTCCTCAGTCTTTGATACTATTTTTATAAATGTCTTGATAATTAATTCAGCTAAAAACTTTTTTTTGTTAGATTCGCTTTATCTGAAACTAGTTGAACCTATTCGCAGTGCAGGCCTGAACATGTGCTCATAGTACATTTATCTCGGATTCTTTCATTTTTACAAAGCTCCGAACTGTAAAAAAACACACAGTTTAGGGTTTTTATTTTCAAATTCACAATACCATTAACTACAATTTTTAGAAGAAAAAAAAACATTCTCAGCACAAGGCCCATATATTATATAAGTCGGACCTGTTTAAGCGGGATAAACATTTATCATGTGGACAACTAAAATAACGTTTATCATATAAAAGTCTGTAATACGTCAACAACCCCATTATAGAGAGAATTTAGGCTGTGTTTTTTGCAGGTTCTATTAGTAAAGGTATATGCTAATTTGAATTTGGATATATTACAGCAATTACATTAACACAAACAGAATAACTAACACTGGAAAAAACTTTTGTTCAGGTTTTATTCTAAAATAAATTTTGAGTAGAATGGGAGACGCTCTAAAAATGATCTCTAGACAACATTCCTCATAAACAATGTCTTTTTTTAAGTCAACATTCTAACCCTTTTGTTGTCAACATTATCTTCTTATTTTTTGAAAGAGAAAATTAACACAATTTCTTCTTTGATTATTTGTCTGTTCCGTGCAAGTATTGAAACATGTTCACACAAAAAGCCGTTACATAAATAAGAGTCGATTACATACAAAAATCTCCTATATATTAACTTAACCTTGATAACCAAAGAAAACCAGTGCCTCCAAAGACAAGATAAAAGAAAAAGCTAGAGTGGAGCAGTTAATGGACCACTCGTGGTTCCATTTTCGTTACTTTCTCATAGAGTCGTCTATAGGTTTAAATTTGATTTTTCTTACAAAATAAGAAGTTAACGACCGTAAATTTTTATCGATTAATATTTTACTGCCATATGGTCCATGTCAAACTTATTAAACGTTGTAGCACAGTACACCTCAAAATAGTAGGGTCAAAAATATATCTTATGAGAATTTCTGTCGTTATGTGAAAAGATATGACTTCATGTTTGGTCACATTGAAACTAAAAACCCACAAAATCAAGATAAAATCTAAAAATCAACCAAATAAAAGTTTTACCTACAGACTACAAATTAACTACAGTACAAACGTGAGACATGGAGAGAAGATAGTCCACCTGAGAATCTACCCCCGATTTGACCTCATCACTTTACTTCGCATTTAATACAAATAACATGTTATGTTTTGGTTAACCAATGCAAATACATGTAAGTTTTTAAATCGAACAAAGAAAAATACGTCAGTTTTGTTTTGTTTCTTTGTTAAAGGTAAATTAAATAACCGTTCTTGATTTATATTACCCAAGAACGGTTATTACACTAACCAAAGTTACAAGATCCAGCAAACAAAGTTACAATCCACATATTTCATATAACAAAACTCTTTTCTTCTTCGGTTTTTGTTTGAGAAAAAAAAAACAAACCAAGAATTTTTCGAAAACTCCAAAGAATATTAAAAGATCATCTTCAGTTCCAATAAAATAACAAAAAAAAGGGCAGAATATGGTCTATGACGACGCTCTATCACTCGCTTTTTCACCTTCAGTAGTCCCCGATGAAACATAGCTCACGGCAAGAGACATACTCTCATCGGTCCAAGGCGGCTGAGGAGGATGACCCGAAGCAGCAACAGCTTGAAAATGTTTCTTGCAATTATGGCAAGTGATTTGCATCATCGTTGCATTGATCCTCCTACTTGCTTCTTCTCTATAAAGCTGAGCTTTGTGAAGCTCAGCTTTTGCATTTTGCCTTATCCTCTTAGCTTCAGCAAACTCTAGTTCCGCAATTTTGACTTGCCTTTTCGCTTCCTCTCTTTCTCCCAATGGTAAGCTCGTCTCTCCCTTCTCATAGCTTCTCATTGTTGTCTCCATCCCTATGGACAGACTAAGGCTGGTCTCATCAGCACTAGCCCGCGATGGAAGTAGCTGAAGCTCGATGCCACTGCCAGTAGTAGCGCTTGAGCCAGCGAAAGGACAAAATAAACTGGATGGTTTTTGATCAGATGGTGGAGATTGTCTTGGCAATACCGGACCAACGGAGAGGTTAATATTCTCGGCGGTTGAAGCGGTTTGTGTCGTGTTTGTGGTATGTTGTTGTGAACGGTGGCTGGAGGATTGAGATCGGCGCATGGTGCAGTTGTCTTGGTGCTCTATGAAACTTTCCACTCTGATTCAAGAAAGAGTCTATACATATTTAACTAATATGGAAAGCACAAAGGAATATTTGGTATGTATCAAACAAGACTAAAATATTAAAATTAATTAAGTTAGTGGAGTTTGGTATCTTTTGTATTATATTTATCTTGAGTATGAGGTTCAAGACTTTGAGTTTTGGTATGGTATATACTTAAACAATATATCTACTTAACAAAGTGAGATAATGAAGTCTATAATGGGGTCAACGTAAGTTCAAATATATAATTAAAACTTAGTTTCTAATTATTAAATTAATTAAAATATTTCAGACAACAGTCCAAACAACCATCAGCTACCAAGCTTGTTTCAATATCTGTGTTCATTATCTATAATCAAAACACGTACACGCCACACAAGAAAAAACATTCTTTGATTTACTTTAAGGATTCCAAAATATATATACTAAATATATAAATAAAATAAATAATATCAGTTTTGCCACTAGCTAGGGTTTCTAACCTGGAGAAGACGCGGCCGCAATCACAGGAATGGCCACGAGTGCCACAGGTTTTGAGATGCGCTTTGTAATCAGACTGAACAGCGTAGCCTTTTGAGCATCTCTCGCAGATCCACTGCTTATGGTTGCTGTGTTTCCTTCGAAAGTGTTTCTTGATTCCCACGAGATCACCGAGGGCGTGACAAGGGTTGTGGTGGAGACATGTCGGCTCTGGACAAACGTAGACTCTCTTCTTCACTTCCTCGTTTGTCTCTCTTTTAAGAAGCTTCCATGGAACTTTATGTCGTCTCCTGTGCATCTGTAGATTCTGGTCTCTCTGAAAACCTTGGTTACATATCTCACACACATACCGGTCTGATTCAAGTAGTGTTCTAGGTGATAAAGATACCACCTCAGCCTCTGGATCTGCCACCGCCGGAAAAAAAATATGATTATTGTGGAAATGATCGAAAAAAATCATTTATACCAAATTATAACCAGTCAATATTTTTCAAGAATTTACTAATAGAAAAAAAATGAACTGGTGCTAAAATTTTAAAAAGGATACAATATTATTTGAACATATTGTAAAGTACCTGGTGTGCCGGCGGGTCGACGTTTCCTCTTTTGGGTCACGGCGGCTCCATTACTGTCGGGAGGAAGATCGGAGGAAGATGAAGATGGAGGAGGATTACAATGATGGTTGATGATCTTGGTGTTGTTGCTTCTCTCGTAGTCTATCATTGGATGAGGTTTGTAGTGAAAGTGTATAGGGAGGGTACTGTGACTAATGAAAAGTAAGAACAAATTTGATGAATCTTTTGTTCTTTTATGTAGGATGGAAGAAGTAGAGATTTTTTTTTTCTTATTTATTTGGTGGAGATGATTTTGTGTGTTTTACATCTTTGTTAATAAAAGAAGAAAAGTTTATGAGTTAAGAGAGAGAAACAAAGAGTTTTGTTTTTCTGAATTTTTCTTTTTATATCACATAAAGGGGAAAGCTTTTCTATTCGCTTTACTCCATCTTTTGATAATTTTATAGAAAAAAAAAAGAAATAAAAGATGAAAACTTTCAACTTTTTGTTAATTGTCTCATTGACCTCTCTCACCTTATGGAGAAATGCATTGTATGGTCTTTGGTGCTTCAATCTTCTTCATCAGAGTAGTTATCAACTTCTTTCTATCTCTCTCCTCTATCTGTACACTGTTTAAATACAAACACAAAACATCTCTATGCAGAGAAATGTTGTATGCGTATAAAGAGAGTGGGACAAGGAGTTTGGAGCCCACATTAGCATCTGGACAAGAAACAAAAAAACATCCCCTTTCACAACGAAACAATTACAAGTCTAATTTCATATCATAAAATATTCGATCGGATTGAGTTAAGTTTTCTTCCTTCCTTTTTTCAAGACAAATAATAAAAAGATTGGTGAAAAAATCGATGGGAATCTTGGAAATTTGATGTTAGAGTACATGTTTTAATGGTGACAAATGTATGTGTAGCCTTTAGGGCTGGTTTTTATATAAAAGCGGGACATGAGAATATTTGTTTGGAAAATAAGTCACATGCATATATCCAGTTCATGTTTCCTTATATAAACAAATATACAATGTGGTGCCATCATCTCACATATATACCTTTTTATATAAGTAATGGATTTTAATCAACTATGGATATTGTGTATACAACTAAGACTTGATGAACCTTAAAGTTTACAGTAAAAAATGTTTACAGTTGAGTTTTTCTGTACGAGAAACTCTTGCGTGATATATGAATACAATTCTTACTTTAAGATATGAGGTTCTTGTGTCAGCTCTCAGCTGAGACCAATCCTGCATAATATAACATCACGAACAATTTTTTTTATAGATCTGGAATATGTTTTTTTGTCAGCTGATCTGGAATATGTTTGTAAGGATTTTCTTTATAAAAATATGTCTATAAAGTTGAAGTGTGTGTCTTGTAGGTATAAATAGCAAAGTATATTAAAGTCCACCATCTTATCAAAGGGCATTTGTCTAACCAAGTGGAACTGTGAGAAAATTGAAGTGGATGCAAGTTTTTAAGTTTATTTTTTTCATTGAAAAACAAAAAGAAGATGACACTTTAATAAGAAGAGAAAGGAGAGGTCGAGTTGGAAAGAATGGGTGGGGAGGATGGGGGAGATGGATACCCAGCACATGCAATGCTTTTTCTGTAAGTTGGATAAATATCAATCCTCACCAACCAAATTCTTGCTTAATATAGTTGTTTATAATAATCACCTACTTTATTTATTTAAAGAGTATATGTAACTATATGCTGGTCAATTTTTTCAAACGCAGAGATAAAAATTGTAAATAAGTTATATTATACATTGCATGATTTTTATGTTATAGATTTCGTGCTATTTTTATAAATTTCATCATAAAACATCATTCATATAACTTAGCAGTCTTTAAACTTAGCAAGTTAGCATTATCTATAAGAACATCTCCAACCTAACTCCCAAACAATATTTTAGTGTGGTTTTTACACTAAATTAATACTATTTTGATGTAACACTATAATTTTATACTAACACTTAAATTGGGTTTTCGAGTTGGGTTGAGATTGCCTAAAACTACGTTTTTAATGGTTAAATGAGTAATGCTTGTATAAATATAAAAAAATCATCCGCAAACACTTTGGTGGAGCTAATGCTATGCACTGAAACCCTGAGGGATTTGTCTCGTTCGCTCTTGTTGCCATCAGAAAGATGCAACTTGAAAAGTTAATTGGCATCTTTTTAGATTTCACTGAAATCCAAAGGGAGGGTAATGACTTTTACTTCGCCTTTTACTAAATAAAGTATACATAATGTAACCACAGTGCGTGTTATATTACGCCGGCTATTTAAATTGTCCCGATACACTAAGTAGTTTTATTTTATTTACTTAACCCACTGAAAATATTCGATAGTTTCTGTTTACCAACAGATCAATGGTAAGCATATGTTCGGCTGTTCAATATTTTCCTTATCGCTTCCTTTTAAACATATGTTTTCCTTATCGCTTCAATGGTATATTACAATGGTTAACGTTAAGATTGTATTTTACATTACCCATAATATATAGACAATATTTTTGATTGTTAACATTTTATCGCTGCAAACATAGCATTATTGATAATACAAAAGCAAGATCTAGGGGTTAAGATTAGATTCGAGATTCGTTTTAGGAAAAAGGAAGTACGAATAAAGGAGAGGAGTACAAGAAAACAAACAAAAAAAGAGTATTAATTAATTAGGTTTAATCAAGGGGAAGAGGATAGTGATGACAACATGGGAGTTGGACCCTTTGGCTTTTGCTTTCCAAGCAGTAATGATGAAGTGGTGAAAACTTCTATTGACAACCCATAAAGACTTTAATTAAAATAAAAAATTTATAGTTTTTGTATAATAACCTATATAGAGATAAAGTGACTTTGTCTCTATGTCATAATCTTCATAGAAAGCATTGCCAAATCTTATGGCCACATGGACGCGGTGTAAGCCTTTACCCTACTCGCTACTCTCATCTATTACCTTTACATTTTTCTTCATTATTACATCTCTATATGTAGCTTTTGTATAAATTGTCATCATTATGGATTTGTTCATTTGTTCGTAAATAGGCTGAGCCTATTAATGCTCACGGATCAACACATACATGATGAACATGAGCCCTACTTTTATTTTCCTTTTCCTATAACTTAAAATGCTTTGTGATGTTAAGTTGCAACTGGTTACGACAATCATTTGGTGCCAAAAGAAAGAGTCTCCAGTAAGTGGCTCGGCCAGGGGCGAAGACGCTTTGTCTGCATTTAAATTTGGATTTTATTATCGAGTATGATCAAATAATTTGAACACAATAGATCAAATCATTGACAAAGATGAGTACTTACTTTTGTAATGTTGATATTATAATTCTTTATAAATTTTTTTTAAACAATTTTGTGGTACTTTAAATAGTTTTAATATGTATACAAAATTATGATCAATATTTTGAAAGTGCAAAGCTATTTTTAACTAATTTTAATTCTGTTATTAACTTATTTAGATAACATATAGTTGTAAGTGTAAAATTTTAAATGTTTGCCATTTTACATTTTTATAAATGCATTATATTAGTTTTTTTTGACATCAGTATTATATTAGTTTACTAATTTTACTGTTATGATGATGATAATAATTATTTTTATTTAAACTAATGCAATTTTATATATAGTATTAAAAAACGTTTTCATTTTTCTGGTTCAAAACTAATGTTATTTATTTTTGATAGTTTTTAATAATTAAAAAATTTAATTAGTTATTTAAATGATAAGGATTAAAAAATATGAAATATCTACAATTAACGAATATAATTTAAATAGTAGAATACTCATATGTGATAATCATTATATAGTCCATAGTGTAAGCAATGTCAAATATTCTTAATAAAATATCTAAGAATAGTTTAAATTTAGTAGCAATTCCATAATTACAGATGAATTAATATTAGTTTCATTTTGCCCATATATATTTTTTTTTTTAACAAGACATTTCATAAGATAAAAGGGCAGTTCAAATGGTCTGGCCCATATTTCTAATAGAATAAAACACACACACACACTCACACATACACACACATATATATATATATATATTTGAGAAAGATCCAATTAATATTTGATAGGGACCAGATAGTTGTTTTATATTAATAGTAATATTTTGGCATTTTCCAGAAAAAAATATCAATTGCTAATCAAAGTTCTATAAAACTAGAATGATCAATAGAAGTCAATTATTCCATTTGGGTGTAGAATAAAAATTGTTTTACTATTTATATGGCATTTTCTGTCGACATGCTTTGATATGGTTTATGCGTCCAATCTGCTAGGCCGATGGTTACAAATTATTTATGTGGAAAATCTCACGGCCTCTAAAGTGCAAACTAATTATCTGGACGCAACATACTGTAAAATACAAGTCACATTATTCAGAAGCACACAATTTGGTTATTGTTTGAATTTACAATAAGCATGTTAGTAAGTCACAATGTTTTGTTTCCTAGCTAAGGCATTTAGTATGTCATTAACGGTGTTAGTGGTAATATTGGATCGATGCTTGTACAATCGCTGTAGAATATGATACAAACTTATTATAAAATGTGGAATGGTTTATAAAAAAGGATGTTTTGCTTAATAATATATGGTCGGGGAAGTATTATGAAAAAGTACTAGTCGTTAAAAAGTTCGAAACATATGGTACATCCTTAAAGTCTTTGCTTTGGCCATACCATTTTATGATTGATAGCGATTTCCTATCAGCCTTATTGCTTTCTTTACAAACATTTCATATCAAAAGAAGTCAACACATCGTTAGCTTTCCTTAACCAAAACAAAAACAAAAATTATCTATTCTTTTCAAGTAGATATACTTAATAATATGAAAAGTCTAATTAAGAAACGTTAATTGTCTTTTATTTTCCAACAATCCGTATCGTGCTGGTTGGACAACCCATAAGACAACGTACATCTTATGTCTGTACAAGCGTTAATTATATAAACGGAAATGAATCTTTTGAAAATATGGAATTTGAGATTTATGGCTGAAAATACGAAATCAAGCACCTACAGTCTTGCAGACAATTAAGCCTCCCGCCCCATTAAATCTTGAAAATCAGATTAAAGCTTAATTTTTTTTTTTTGTGTGTGTGTGGGTCTTTAGCATCGATAGGTTCTAATAACAATAAAACAGTATACACAAATTAGGATGCTAATTTTTCTAATATGTAGAGTCGTCATTCGTCAACAATGACGCTCATACACAAATCCGAGAGTACCTTAAGGAATTACCAGGCCTTGTACAGAACACTCAAAGTCCCGTTTAAAGCCCATAATTTAATATGAAAGTTGGTCCGCCAAGATCAATGCCAACATACATATTATGGATTTAGTTTTCCATTGTAGAGATAGCATATGCCCATCAGTGATACTGGGCATTATCAGACACGGAATCCTAAGTAAGTTTTTATTTTTTATTTCCTTTTTCTTTTTTTGACTTTTAAAAGAAAAAATTGACGAATCTCAGCCCGCCACGTGGCGAACACGTGACGAACCCGGTTCACCACGACGAATCCACGCACACCGAATTCATCACTGTTCCTCTCGAAAAATGTGTGAACCCCCCTTAAAAATCCCTAATGGGCATGCTCTAAGAGATGTCAATAACAGAACACCAAATGGTATTTACAGATAAAACATCTATCGTCTTTGAGCCATAGGAAAGGTTGATAAATCCTTTTTTTATTCTTTGACATTAATTTAAAAATTAGATTAAATATTATTGGTAACTTTTATGGTTATATACAAAAAATAAAGATAAAAATTGCTACATTCCAACCAATCATTTCTGTAATTTCATTTATTTTTATATAGCATTTTTGATAGAAAAGCATTCTTATTTTGTTTTGTTTTTTGCTAAAACATTCTTATTTTGTTGTGGGAGATAAGAAGTCAAGGTTTGGTTACAAGTGATAGTTAAAAATGCTTGATAGGAAATTCGGGTGCGCGTTCGGGTATCCATTCGGATTTCGGATTCACAAATTTTAGCTCCATTCAGATATTTCTAAATTTCAGTTCGTGTTCGGTTCGGATCTTTACGGGTTCAGATAACCCATTTAAATTCTTTTTTAAAATTTTAAAATTGATTATATAATTTAAATTTCTAAAAAACTATAAAAGATAATATATAAAAAATAATTGAATAACATAAGTCAAAATACCTAAAATTAACATATAAATTAATTTGATTTCCCCACCCTACAGGAAACTACAAATATCCGAGGTGAACATAGTATATATCTCCAAGTCTAAGGATGAAATACACAGATCTGGTCAGGAAAAAAAAAAGACAAATGATTTTATCTTATCCAACGTCTGTTGAATGAAGGGCATAACTGCATAGCTAATTTTGTTTCTGGTTATTTTTATCTCATATGGTTTTTATGTCATTAATCTTAAAGTATTAAAATATTTATATCTCATAAAATAAGATTGATATCACAATTTATATAAACAATATTTATTAATTATTACTATTATATCAATTATTTTATATTTTGAATTGATCAAACTCAAAATTATTTTTATCACTTTTATTTGTTATTTTATGATAAAATTACAAAAAATAATTCATTTTGATTTTTTTTTCTCTTTTGTTTTATGTAATTTAATAGAATAAAGAAAAAAAAAGTATAAGTAAGTAAAAGAAAACAAAAATAGTATCATTATCATCCTTTCTACCATCTCCCACCGTCCCCTCCCATCTCTCTCTCTCAAAGGGGAAAAAGAAATCTAAAAGATCGATTTCACCATCCTCAGTAAGTTTCCTCTCTCCACCATTCCTTATAATATTTCGTATTTTTGTACTCTTTGCCTCCTCCTTTTCTCCATTGTCGCCGTATCTCTCTCTCTCTCTGTACTTTTCTATATTTTTATTAGATCCCCTCTGTTCATATATGCTTCACTCTGCACCTGTTAAAAAATGTTAAATTACGAAACCCTAATTAACGAAATCTGACGAAAGTTATTGTCTTTTCTTGTTCAAATCCTTAAATCTGATTTGGGTTTTTAGATTTACTTAAGCTGTTCTTGAAAAAAAAGTATCTTAGATTTTGTAAATGTGATGGTTAAGATTCTAAATTGAGAACCCAGATAAAAAGTTAAGATCTTTTACCAAAAAAAATGTGTCTTTTTTTGTTTTTGTTTTGTAGTAAGTTTCTTATAATGGATGAAGATGGATTGAGCAACCGAAATTGGGGATATTACGACCAGTCTCAGTTCAGACCAACTTTAGGGTTTCAACTAATACCAAACATAGTAGACCGAACCGAGAAGCCATTTCTCTTCCCTCAGAATCCAAACTTTGTAACCACCACAAACAATGGCTATTGTAACGGTAGCAGCAGCAGCAGCAATGATGTCATGTCTTTTCCGCGCGATTACACTGCCTCTGATGCACCGTTCATGAGCTATAGCTGGTTAAACCAGCACAGAGATGGCAAGTTCTTTAACACCTTACCTAACCCTTCAACCCATCAGACGTTTCTTGACCCCAGGGCTCAGCAGCCAATGCAGCTTCTGCAGATTCCTAAACCCGAGGTCGTCGTCGAAGAGTGTCTCAAGAGAAGGCAATGTAGTAATGTGGAGAGAGCTGATACCAAGGCGAAGAAAGAGAGGAAGGTGAAGGATAATAATGTTCCGAGAATGCAGAGGGAGAGAAGTCCTTTGAGGAAAAGCATAGAGATGGTGATAAATGGTGTTACAATAGATATTGGTTGTCTACCGGTTCCGGTTTGCTCGTGTACCGGTTCGTGTCAGCAGTGTTACAGATGGGGTTGTGGGGGATGGCAGTCTGCTTGTTGTACCACCAATGTGTCCATGTACCCTTTGCCGATGAACACTAAAAAGCGCGGCGCTCGTATCGCCGGAAGGAAGATGAGCCAAGGAGCTTTCAAGAAAGTTCTTGAGAAACTCTCTGGTGATGGTTTTGATTTCTCAAACCCTATTGATTTGAAGTCTTATTGGGCAAAACATGGAACCAACAAGTTTGTTACCATCAGATAGAGACCAAACCTTTCTCCCTTTTTCTTTGTTTTGTTTTGGATTCTGAATCAATTTTTTGTTTGTGTCCTAAAACCTATGTTGTATAACTCAGAATCAAAACTCGGTATAAAAAGTACCTCTTTTCTTGAATATTTTTTACTGGTGAAAAAAATTGTATTATGTACAGAACCAGAACCAGGTGAAAAAGAATCAAATCTCATCCAGATTTGCTGTTAACATTCTCTAGAACGTAATCAAATCTGGCATTGTGTAATAAACTGGTTGGTTCGATACTACAATAGGCAGAGGTTCTTGATGATATTCTTGAATAGCCTTTTCACTGAAACAATACTCGTCGTCTTCGAAAGTTTCCCATTTATCGGTTATTATCGTCTGCAATCTCGGTTTCTCCAACAATACAATGGCTTTCTCCTCCTCCACCACTACTTCTTCTTCCTTCTGTTCATCTTTTTCGACGCTTCTGACCATTTTCTCCATCGCTTCTACTTCCGCCACTGGTATACTAACGAACTGAGGCGTATCCCGCGCGTTTGAGATCCCAAAGCCTCTGCAGAATTCAAAGTACAAAGCGAGATCTTCTCCCTGAAAGGTCGCCTTGTTGACGATCTTCAAAGTCGCAGCCACGTCAGTTTTCCCGGCATTCGGGAGGATCTTGATGATTCCGTTGCATATTCGACCGTATATATTGATGCTCTCGAGGACAATGCAATCCATAGCTTCAAGAATCAACGCTCTCTTCATGTTGTCAGCAATAGGACGTATCTGAAGAATCAAGTCAAGAAGAGACTGGAGCTTCTGTATCCTATCAAGCTGCTGATTCACCGAATCGACTTTCTCCAGCCGCAGATTCGCGCGGCTTCGATGAATGTGATCGGATGTGAAGAAAGAGTAGTTATTGAGGAACGCGAAGTAAGCTCGGACGAAGATGTTGAACCCCCAGGTTTTGCTGAGGCACGAATGTCCGTCGGTGAAATCGGAGAGATCGAAAGGGAGGCGACGAATCTCCGCGAGGATTGAAGGCACTTTGCAGCAGAGGACACCGTGGAGAAGCATCAAGGATTTGAGCGCGACGATCCAGCTTCGTGTGTGGTTGACGCGGGAGGATAGAGAGTGGATTAGCGTCTTCATGTTGAGAGGAGAGGCTTTGATCCATTTGTAGACGCGGTGAGCGTTCGAGTAGTCGACGGAGGAGTCGTCGTGGGAGGTGGCTTTGATGATAGCTGCTTCGAGATCAGTGTTCCGGTACGAAGTTCGCCGTGAGAATTCTACGGCTAGTAAGCTTTTCCGGTCTTTAATCGCAGCAGCAGCTCGTTTCCAGAGCTTCATCGTCGATGCTCCCTCTCCCCTCCTTCGGCTCTCGTAGTCTCTCCTCTGTAACCTTTGAAAGTCTTTCTTCAAGAACAAAAAGTCAATTCTCTGTAAATCTTATTTCTCTATTTTGAGTTGTATGTTCTGTGTATCATCCGTTATAACCGTTGTAACCGCTAATTTTTGAAAAGAAACATTTTTAAATAGAAAAATAAAAGCTGGAACATGTGACCGGTTTGATTACATTTTAAATCAAAGCTGGAAAAAGTAAATTTTCTATTCATTTAGAGATATCTTAGTGTTGTAAAAAAAGAGAGAAATATCTTAGTTTATTTTGTTTTAATGATTTGTAATAATTTGAGAAATAGACTAATGTGACTAAAATACTGATTACTTTTAAAATACATATTATGTTCTCAAGATTATCTTAAAAAAAGATTATTTCCTTACTTTAAAATTAAAATTAGTTTAATAACTTTCTTTTTTATGAATAACATTATATTTAAAATATATTTATGTTTCAAAATATAAATATAAGACTTTGTACTAATTAACTATTTCACAAATCAAATTATCAAATACATAATATTCGCTTAATTATTAAAAAATAAATAATATATAAAAGAAATAATAGATTTTTATGTATAATTGATTATATATATATATACATATTTTTTTTAAAGAATCGACAATAATTTTAAATTAATTATTTGTTAAACTAATACTTACTAGTCCTGTAAACATAGATTACTGATTTTTTTGAAAAAAAAATGTAAGAATGGTTCATAAAAAACATTCCAAATAACTTTAGAAAGACATATATATATATTCCATTTTTATTTAATTTTTAAAAAATAATAGAAACTAAAATATAAATTTTATAATGGCAATTATATAATAAATTTAATTTATTAAAATTATTAATGTAATTGGCCTTTATAAAAATTAATGTGAACGCAATACGTAAGCAACTAACTTTTATAGAGATACGCTTGTATGAAAGTAACTTTTATAGAGATACGCTTGTATGATAAAGTATTCATTTTACTAATATTAAATGACATTATATACTGTATCTATTTTTTCTACTTCAATTTGTTTAAATTTTAAACTCTTAAAGATTATATGTATGACAATATAAGCAAGCAATATTTTTAATGATATAGGCGCATTTAAAAGGTGATACAAAATGCAATATATTTTACCTCTATACTATAACTTCTTAAGATGACAAATCTGAGTTTTGATTTCATTATAACACTATATAGATATGACGATTTGACCATAGAACAAACATTACATCTTCACTAAGAGCGACTAAGATAAACGAAAGATGATCTCAAAGACAATTTTCGTATGCATATTCATGTTCTCCTTCTTTGCTCTACATCAATGTATGCATAGGTTTCTTCGTCATATCTTCTATTTTTCTTGTCATTGTCAGTGTTGAGTAATTGATGTGTGGTTTCAAATATATAGGCAGGCAAATGGATGTTGGAGAGATAGAGAGCAAGCTCGTTATTCCAAAATGTATCCATAGAAGATGTTCAGATCAAGGCTTTTTCCAAAGAGATTGTTGGTGCTGTATGAAAGATAAAACGCTCCCTTGTTTCAAAGAACAAAGTCATTGTGAATCAGATAGCCGTTGTCCTCCAGTACAATTAAAACTTTAGAAAATTAATGTAATGCTATTATTTGTCCAAATCTATATAAACGCCATTGTCCAATCAATAAATCAATATAAATTCAACTAACAAAGTTAATACTATGATTTAATTTAGCTTATTTAGAATCATGAAACATTTATGGTTCAGTTGAGAATAAACAGAGTCTCATATACCCAAAAATTAATGAATCGATCAAAAAAAATTATAAGCAAAATCAAATATATGTTTTAAAAATCTCTTATTCTCCCTACTACATGTAAATTAAAATTCTCGCAAAAAATATCAGTTGTAATTTACTCAACATACAATCAAATTATATAAGTTTTTACTACTATTAATTTTATTATATTAAAATATATTAATCTAATTTGTAATTATGCATTACTTAGTAGATATATTAGATATAACAAAACATATATCCCTTTTTTGCGTCCGGCGTATTCATCAGTTCATGTATCATGAATTTTATATTTTATTTGAATATGAAACATAAAACATTGGACCCAATAAAAGTTTTTTATGAAGTATGTATCAAACCATTCATCGTCATATTTAACTGAACGAAACAGAGAATTCAACTCCTAAAACCAAGGTCCAATGTCCATTTCCTTGGCATATTTGGCAAAAATACATTTTCCCTAACCTATTCCACATCCACAAATCACAACCACCAACAACAACAAAATCTAAAACACGATCAAGAAAACACAAAAAAAAAAAGAAGAAAAATCAAGAAATTAGAAGAAGAAAATCTTACAATAATTATCTTATTTTGAATCTTATTGAAGACAAAAAAGAGAAAAAAATGGCAACAATGAAAATACCAATGACGGTACCTTCTCCTCGAGTCGATGCCGAGCAGCTCTCTAAGGCCTTTAAAGGTATCTTTGATGGTTATAAACAAGGTTTCTTTGTCACATTTTAAATAATCTTGTTGTAAATTTTCAGGAAGAGGTTGCGATGCTTCGGTAATAATCAACATCTTAGCTCACCGCAATGCAACGCAACGAGCTCTCATCGAACAAGAATACGAAACCAAATTCTCAGACGACCTTCGAAAACGTCTCCAATCTGAGCTTCACGGTCATCTCAAGGTACGTTATTCATCTAGACATATAATTTAGGTCATATTCGTTTTTGTATATGATGATGCATCTTAAATGTTAAACATCCAAATATTAATTTTAATATTTGCATCTATATACAATATTTCGATGTTAAATTGTTAGTTTCATTTTATAATATCATTTGAAAACTACTTGTTAAAAGAACTAAATATATATTACTAATGAATTAATTATTATATTCAAATAAATATGTTTAAAATTATACAAATATTATCTTTGGTTTCAGAAAGCTCTTCTTCTGTGGATGCCTGAAGCAGTGGAGCGAGACGCATCAATACTGAAACAAGCATTGAGAGGAGCCGTGACAGATCACAAAGCAGTCGCTGAGATTATATGTACACGATCTGGCTCTCAGCTTCGTCAGATCAAACAGGTTTACTTAAACACTTTTGGTGCCAGGCTCGAACAAGACGTTGAATCTGAAGCTTCAGNGTGGAGCGAGACGCATCAATACTGAAACAAGCATTGAGAGGAGCCGTGACAGATCACAAAGCAGTCGCTGAGATTATATGTACACGATCTGGCTCTCAGCTTCGTCAGATCAAACAGGTTTACTTAAACACTTTTGGTGCCAGGCTCGAACAAGACGTTGAATCTGAAGCTTCAGGCAATCACAAAAGAGTATGTCTCTATCTAATAGACTCTTGGTAAAGATAATGTTAGACATTGACATGTATGTATGTAACAGGTTCTGCTTGCTTATTTGAACACTACACGGTACGAAGGACCAGAGATCGATGACAAGATCGTAGAGGATGACGCTAGGGTTCTCAAAAAAGCGGTTGCTAGGAAGCACAAGTCTGATGACCAGACACTGATTCAGATTTTTACAGACAGAAGCAGGACTCATCTGGTCGCTCTTAGATCTACTTACCGTTCGATGTTCGGTAAAGAACTTGGAAAGGTAATAATAATAATCAAGAATCAGAAACTTGTTACTCAAGAAACCTTCATATTTCAACATTCTTTGATTTGATATATAGGCCATTAGGGATGAGACACGTGGGAACTTCGAGCATGTCCTTCTGACAATCTTACAATGTGCTGAAAACTCTTCTTTCTATTTCGCAAAGGTAAACCTAATCTTTTAGTTACGTAAACCACAAGTCACAGTTACTTTTTTTTGGGGGTTAAAACATGACAAAATGAAACTGCAGGCGCTGAGAAAATCGATGAAAGGATTAGGAACAGATGACACGGCGCTGATAAGAATTGTGGTGACAAGAGCAGAGGTGGATATGCATTACATTGTTTCAGAATACCGCAAGAGATACAAGAAGACTCTGTACAGTGCTGTTCAGTCTGATACAAGTGGTCATTACAAAACTTTCCTCCTCTCTCTTCTAGGTCCAAACGCTTGATCTTTTATCTATATATTATACCCAAACATTCACATTGATTCTTGTCGTATTTTTAATGTATCTATATCATACAGTAAATCTTGTAAAAATCTTTAAAATATAATATGTTTATATGTAAAGTTTCAACCAGAAAAAGAACAGGTCCAACAAAGAGAAGCTATGTTAACTACTAGAGATTACTTTCTAACAAGAGTCCACTTTGTGTATAGTCTGATACATTTTCCATTGAGGCAAGGATGATAAGAGCTCCTTGAGTAGCTTACAAGTATACTCTTCCCAAGAGGTAACCGCCGCTGATATATCCCTCAAGTCAAGTGAATCCTTCCCATCTTCATTGAAATATGAATATCCAAAAGTTTTGGTCACAAGTCCCTCTTCTGGCAGGAAAACTAATTTCAGGGCATTGATAGATTTCAACTGAGGTTGGGAAATAGCTTTCACCTCTTCTACAGTGTCATTTTTGACCTTTGAAGTTTTAAGCTCCGAAGCTTTCCATTGGTAGAACTGAACAACCTGTTAGCCGAGAGCACAGAGTTGATAACCCAATGCCTAGTAGAAACTCATGTAAGTATGACTAAGAGAGTACCTGAAGAGCATGAAGAATGTTTGTAAATCTCCGGGTGAGAATCTCTCCTCCTTTAGCTATTTGTATTTCCCCCATGAGTTGTTCAGAGGCATCATCTTTATCTTGTAAGCTATGTATATCTAAACCAAGAAGATGCAACCTCGCAACGCAGATATCAAAACCTATGCTCTGACCACCATCTTGATGAGGAGAGAACCAGTACATGTTAGGGGAAGCAGGCAAAGGGAGACAAAACTCAAGTGATGAGTATAAAGAAAGACGTGAAACAAGCTTGGAGTCTTCGTCATGAGATGAATCCCGGCTAAACCACATTGCAAGAGTCAATCTTTCTCCATCCGTTACCTGTGAGAGCATATCCATCAGTTACTTACATCCACAATAGAAGATATAAAAACAAACTCAAGGAGAAGGCAAAAAACCTCATCAACCGAATGAATATTCCGATCATCAGCTGTGTACATGATAACATCCTGGTCAAGAGTCAAAAAAACCAATCTCAAGATTTTCAGTTTAGTAGTAACTGTTGAGACTAGGCCTTGGCAAAAAAAAAAAATCCAGAATCGAACCGAAATACCCGAAACCGGAAAGGACCAAAACCCTCAAATACGGAATGGTTCCTATATTTCTATATCCGAAACAACCGAAAACCGGAATGGTACCCGAATATATAAAAATATTAATTATATATACAACTAAAAATCTATTAAGAGTAATGTGAATTATCCAAACAACCGAAAATAATCAAACCAAACCAAAACTACATAATCGAAAATAGGCCAAGTAGTAAATGGATCCTCTCTACCAGGCCTAGTTGAGACAACTGAAAAAGGGACATACTTACTCCAGCAGAGGGAAAAACTGTCGCTGGTTCACCACTCTGAAAACGAAAAAGACCGCCTTTGAAGTCTTGACCGTAGCTATTCAAGTAACAAACTGCCTTCGAAACCAAACATACAACCAAGAGTGATCATTTACATAAAACACCATACCGATGATAATGACTTATATAGACTAAAAAAAAGAAACGAACCGAGAAGTCTCTTTGTTTAAGATACTGCCTGTTATCATCACTGTGCCAACCAATGCTAGCTCCTCTACACCAACTGATTCAACAAAAATAAAAGAGTACACTTTAATAAGAGGGAAGAGACAAAAGTAGTGACTTTTTATTTACCTAATTAAACCTGTGAATTCAATAAACAGCTCGTACTCACACCCAAACGTTTCCTCCATTCTCTCTTTCAACCGTTCTGTTTATTCAGAAACATCACAAAAAGGTCTGAAAAAGGTCACAAAAAGGTCACAAAATTGGTTTCAGAAAGCCCTTCTTCTGTGGATGCCTGAAGCAGTGGAGCGAGACGCATCAATACTGAAACAAGCATTGAGAGGAGCCGTGACAGATCACAAAGCAGTCGCTGAGATTATATGTACACGATCTGGCTCTCAGCTTCGTCAGATCAAACAGGTTTACTTAAACACTTTTGGTGCCAGGCTCGAACAAGACGTTGAATCTGAAGCTTCAGNGTGGAGCGAGACGCATCAATACTGAAACAAGCATTGAGAGGAGCCGTGACAGATCACAAAGCAGTCGCTGAGATTATATGTACACGATCTGGCTCTCAGCTTCGTCAGATCAAACAGGTTTACTTAAACACTTTTGGTGCCAGGCTCGAACAAGACGTTGAATCTGAAGCTTCAGGCAATCACAAAAGAGTATGTCTCTCTATCTGATAGACTATTTTGATAAAGATAATGTTAGACATTGACATGTAGATAACAGGTTCTGCTTGCTTATTTGAACACTACACGGTACGAAGGACCAGAGATCGATGACAAGATCGTAGAGGATGACGCTAGGGTTCTCAAGAAAGCGGTTGCTAGGAAGCACAAGTCTGATGACCAGACACTGATTCAGATTTTCACAGACCGAAGCAGGACTCATCTGGTCGCTCTTAGATCTACTTACCGTTCAATGTTCGGCAAAGAACTTGGAAAGGTAATAATAATCAAGAATCGGTTAACTTGTTAGTCAAGAAACCCTTCATAGTTCAACTTTCTTTGGTCTTGATAAATAGGCCATTAGGGATGAGACACGTGGGAACTTCGAGCATGTTCTTTTGACTATCTTACAATGTGCTGAAAACTCTTCTTTCTATTTCGCAAAGGTAAACCTAATCTTTAACTTACGTAAACCACAAGTCACAGTTTTTTTTTTTTTTTGGGGTGTTAAAACATGACAAAATGAAACTGCAGGCGCTGAGAAAATCGATGAAAGGGTTAGGAACAGATGACACGGCGCTGATAAGAATAGTGGTGACAAGAGCAGAGGTGGATATGCACTACATTGTTTCAGAGTACCGCAAGAGATACAAGAAGACTTTGTACAGTGCTGTTCAGTCTGATACAAGTGGTCATTACAAAACTTTCCTCCTCTCTCTTTTAGGTCCAAACGTTTGATCTGTATCTATATATACCAAAACATTCACATTGATTCTTGGAGTAATTTTATGTATCTATATCTTACAATAATTCTTGTAAAAAATCTTGAAAATATAAAATGTTAATATGTAAAGTTTCAACCAAAAAAGGGCAGGTCCAACAAAAAGAAGCTATGTTAACTACTAGAGAGTACTTTCTAACAAGAGTCCACTTTGTGTATAGTCTGATACATTTTCCATTGAGGCAAGGATGATAAGAGCTCCTTGAGTAGCTTACAAGTATACTCTTCCCAAGAGGTAACCGCCGCTGATATATCCCTTAAGTCAAGTGAATCCTTCCCATTCTCACTGAAGCATGAATATCCAAAAGTTTTGGCCACAAGGCTCTCCTCTGGCAGGAAAACTGATTTCAGGGCATTGATAGTTTCCAGCTGAGGTTGGGAAATAGCTTTCACCTCTTCTACAGTGTCATTTTTGACCTTTGAAGTTTTAAGCTCAGAAGCTTTCCAATGGTAGAACTGAACAACCTGTTAGTTGATAACTCAAGGCCTTAACTCATGTAAAGATCGGTTTAACATACGATTAAGAGAGAGTACCTGAAGAGCATGAAGAATGTTTGTAAACTTCCGGGTGAGAAGCTCTCCTCCTTTAGCTATTTGTATTTCCCCCATGAGTTGTTCAGAGGCATCATCTTTGTCGTGTAAGCTATGTACATCTAAACCAAGAAGATGCAACCTCGCAACGCAGATATCAAAACCTATGTTTTGACTACCATCTTGATGAGGACAGAACCAGTACATGTTAGGGGAAGCAGGCAAAGGGAGACAAAACTCAAGTGATGAGTATAAAGAAAGACGTGAAACAAGCTTGGAGTCTTCGTCATGAGATGAATCCCGGCTAAACCACATTGCAAGAGTCAATCTTTCTCCATCTGTTACCTGTGAGAGCATCCCCATCAGTTACGTACATCCACATTTAAGTCACTAAAGCAAACCCAAGGAGAAGGCAAGAAACCTCATCAACCGAATGAATATTCCGATCATCCGCTGTGTACATGATAACATCCTGGTCAAAAGTCAAGACACCAATCTCAAGATTTTCAGTTTACTAGTAACTGTTGAGACTAGGCCTTGGCAAAAAAAAAAAAAATCCAGAACCGAACCAAAATACCTGAAACCGGAAAGGACCAAAACCCTCAAATACAAAATGATTCCTATATTTCTATATCCGAAACAACCAAACCGAACGGGTTCAAATATACAAAAATATTAATTATATATACAACTAAATATGTATTTAGATTTAAAAATCTATTAAAAGTAATCCGAATTATCCAAACAACCCAAAATAACCAAATCGAACCCAAAACTACCGAACCGAATCGAAAATAGGCCAAGTAGTAAATTGATCCTCTCTACCAGGCCTAGTTGAGACAACTGAAAAAGGGACATACTTACTCCAGCAGAGGGAACAACGGTCGCTGGTTCACCACTCTGAAAACGAAAAATCCCACCTTTGAAGTCTTGACCGTAGCTATTCAAGTAACAAACTGCCTTCGAAACCAAACATAAAACCAAAAGTGATCATTCACATAAAATACCATACCGATGATAATGACTTATATAGACTAATAAAAAGAAACGAACCGAGAAGTCTCTTTGTTTAAGATACTGTCTGTTATCATCACTGTGCCAACCAATGCTAGCTCCTCTACACCAACTGACTTCAACAAAAAAAAAAAATAAATCAATCTTTACACTTTAGAGAGGGAAAAGACAAAGGCAGTGACTTTTTATTTACCTAATTAAACCTGTGAACTCAATAAACAGCTCGTACTCACACCCAAACGTTTCCTCCATTCTCTCTTTCAACCGTTCTGTTTATTCAGACAGAAACAGGAACATCACAAAAAGTAATTTACTTGGAAATGTAAAAAGGGGAGTGGTGGAGATGTGACCTCGAATGGAGACAAAAGGGATGAGGAGGTGAGGAGAATTGGTGGCGATGAGGTGAGAGAGAGTGGTGGAGAAGACATTTGGTCTGTATCCGACAGTACTGCAGCTCTTGTGTATGAACTCTAGCTCCCTGCACTCTTCAGGGGTGATGAAATTGTGAAGAATCAGTCTCGGGTGGTGATCTCTCTTTGGCTCCGACATTAACGAATTCGGATCGATTGGGGTTGTTTAGGGTTTCGGAGTTTGGGTTCCTTCTGATTTTAAAGATTGTTTGAATGTTGTGTGGCCTGCACATTTGGGTAATCTAGTGGTAGTGATTTGTATTCGGCTTGAACCGAACCGAACGAATTTAAAACTGGTGGTTTTCGGTTTAACATCTTGTTGAAGCTACGAACCGATCGGTGAACTGTGAATTGTAAAAGGTGGTCAATCCAGTTTAGCTAACAGAAACCGATCAGTTTGGTACATAGCAATCAAACAAACCAAAAAATTTGTTATAGACACAAATTTTGACACGTCAACTATTTGGTTCAGATAACCAATTGACTTTCCTTTGTTAGAAATGAAATCAATAAACAGCCTTATTATGTCAGTGTTCTATATGTTTGAGCTCATATGAAGATGGAACAGAGCTGGTCCTTCCTTGTAACCACCACTTTCATTCCACGTGCATTGTGAAATGGCTGAAAATGAATGCGACATGTCCATTGTGTAAGTTTAATATTGTCAAAGGCAATGAACAAGACTGAAGTTTAAGAGATGGAACCTGTCTCATCTGCTAAGTTTATTTGGTTCCTTTTTTTGTATATATAGAGTAGATAAACCCGAAATGATCTGTCATTTGTAAGCCGTAAGATAACTGTGACTTTGTTGTCATTCCTTTTATTCTATCAAATATAGAGCTGTATATATGATTGTTTTTCAAAACTTAAAAAAAAAACACTAAAAGCTTCATCATTAGTGAAGTTTCCATCTATCTTTGACGACAATATGGACTAATGTCTTATCTATTAAGTTTATTGATCATTTAGTCTACAACCGGTGATTGTATCAAGTCTCATATAAATCTTAGGGCCGGCTATTCAGTTTGCTGCTGAAGCCAACTTAAGAAGGGTTCATGCTGCTCACAAAGATGATGACATGCCTTCCACTGAAGCCATTCTAGCACCTTTACAAGCTGAGCTTAAGCTTGTGCACGCTCTGAGATTTTTTGCGCTAGTTTCTAAATTACAGTTTTGTACTAACGTCTACTTGTGTGATGTTTTCTGCATAGATTGGTAAGATTCAAGAAGATAACAGAGCCTTGGATCGTCTCACTAAATCAAAAGAAGCGGCCTTTTTACCACACAAAAAAAAAAAGAAGCGGCCTTACTTGATGCTGAGAGGGCTGTTCAAACTGCCTTGGCAAAAGCTGTCTTAGTTGATGATCTTCAAAATAAGAACCAAGAGTTGATGAAACAAATAGAAATCTGTCAGGTGCTCTACTCATCACCCTCCCTTGTACGGTTCTACCCATCACGCATTGTTTCTCAACTATCTATTATATATTTGAATGCTTTATGAAGAAAACAAGATTCTAGGTAAAAGGTTGCTGAGGTGGGAAAGCTTACTCAGATTGTATGGGAGCTGGAAGAGGCTGTTCTTGCTGGTGGCGCTGCTGCTAATGCCGTTAGTTTATCAACGGAAGTTTCAAGAGATGAATGTGATTTACACACTTCATAAGAATAATCTTTGGTTATGAAATTTCCATCTGATAATGGAATATTTCTTGATCTCGTTTTCAGAAAGATCAAGAATCATGACCAAGTACATAATATTGAGCTTCAGGGACACAACCTTTCTCCGATTACAAAATGCAAAATGTTAAATTGGGGAAACAGAAGATATTAATAAGGCATATAGAAGAAAGTTCAAGAAACAAAGTTGTTGACAAAAGAGATCTTGTAAAAAAAATAAAGTTGAAATTTTTAAATAAAGTTTTGAGTTCAGAGATTGAGGGTTACAGAATGCAAAATCTTACAGTGATGCTGATGCTGAAGTAGAGGACAAGGAGGATCGAGCGTCATGACTACTTCAGACCACTCAACCTTCCCCCAAATCTCAATCTCGCCTTTCGCTTTGCACCATCGTAAAGATATCTCCGCACACCAAATCTCCAACTTCTTAGGAGCAAGCACGTCCCAGAAGAGTAACATGTTAGGACCAGAGTTGCTAAGTTTATGACCGGGAAGCAAATCATCAAGTTTCTCTTCCGGCAATCCCCAACCATAGTTGACAAGTTTGGAGGCACAGAGAGTGTCCTTTAGACCCTCCAAGCCCATCACCTGCTTCCACTTCATTACTTTAGAAGTACTTGCCTGACACCACAGTATCTTCCCACCAGTTTCACAACAGTAAATGACATTGTTTATCACATGCCAACCCTTTCTAGGTCTATAAGCATCCGACTTCCCTTTTCTCCATACGCCTTCACTCGGATTGTAGAGCAAACCATCGCCTTTCTCATTCAAAGAAAATACATACTTATCCTTCCACACAAAGCTTTCATGCATTACCGGAGAATACGTTTCCTTAGTCCGCTTTGGCAGAACATCCCAAGTCTGCTTCTCTATATCGAAAACCTCGCCCCATTTATCCGAATTCGGATCCTCACACCCTCCGAAAACGTATATCTTCCCGTCAACCACGCCCGCAACCGCAAACGCTCGATCTTCCCCCATGCAGGGGAGGTTACTCCACGTATGAAACCTCCCATCAAGGAAAAAAAACCTCGAGGATCGTTTCCCGCCAATCATCCCACCGATTATATAGATCCCCGAGCCATGAGCCACCACGGAAGATCCTTCCTCAGGCTGATACAAGTGTGGCCGGATTGCAACCAACCGACCAGGACTATTTAGGTTTTTCGGATAGAAGGCGAACCAGCGTACAAACGGGTCTGAAGGGATGCTTAGACATAGGAAGATACAATTCTCGGTGCAACCCGTTAGTGATCTGACATGGTAGAGGTCAGGGGAAAGCGTTAAAGAGCGTAGCCACTTGTTGACAAGAGATAAGGAAGCGTGGTCAGATTTTGAGACACTGGCTAAGCAATTCAGAAGGATATCATCTGGTAATAAAGATAACGCACAAGACGGAGTAGAAGAAGACTTGTTCCACTTGTTCGTACACTTCCACCACTTTGTGTTTTGTTTTGCTTTCTTTTGTCTTTGTCTTTCATCACGTAGCACTTTGCTGGAAATCGACATCTTGTTATGTGATGTTTCTTTTATGAGTTTAAGAGAGGATAAATGAAGCACTTCCTCAACTCCTATGTTGTTGTATATATACACAAAAATCTCGGGATCCTAATGTAATTCAATCCGAGTCATAAGGAACAAAACTACAACAACATATCCTTTTTTTTTTGGTTTCAAAACTGCAACATATCCTTTTATTTTATTGGGCGGTGTAACGTATATTAAAAGCCAATAAAAATCGAAAGTTAAGATATTAAACTTTTTTTTTTGTAAACAAGTTAACCTTTTCACCCAAGTCCACAGGGTTTGGGAACTTATTAATGTTTCAGAGAACGGATAATGCTGACGTGTTCATTATCCTACTCACTGCTGCTTCAAAAACTTTTTATCAAACTATAAATCTTGTAATCAGATTATATTTACAAAACAGAAATTATGTCAAAAGGCAAATCAATATTTTTTTCATCTTGTTTATAACATAAAAACATGTTTCTACACAGGAAAAAAAAATAAATAGAGTTGTAAGTTTCAGGAAAAGGAAGGAAGATCAAGGCTTCTTCTGCTGCTTATCTATATCATACAGTACACATACATCTGCAGCTGTTTTCATCTGCAAACATATCCACAAAATAAAATTAGATACCAACAAAAAACAGCTTTCAGTGTAGGGATTAGTGACAGATTTGGCAAAGAATAAAAAGTTAGCTTTTACCTGAATGATATTGACGGTTTGTTTCATAGACCAACCGAATATTGTCAAAGCTAGAAGAAGAGAGAGTGGTGAGATCTGAGTTAAAGTGGAAACTACAACCTGTAATGAGAGGAGTCATGTTTAGTAGTTGAGTAGGAAAAAAAGAGCTAAAGTAAGAAAAAAGGGAGAGAGGAGATTTACATTCAGGAGACTTTCGGTTTGGTTCTTTGCAATGAGAAGAAGGATGATATACAGAACCTGCACGTTTTTTGAAAACAGTTTGCATCTAAGAAGACATAATTCATATTAAAGGATTAACATGGAATTTTAAGAGACAAATGTGTAATCACCTCGCAAGAAACACAGCAGTAACACATGAAGATCCGGTTTCCATAGTAGAGTCTGAAAAGCCAGCTTGTGCTGTCTTTCACATCCTTATGGCTGCTCTTCCCTGCTAGAAACGTACTGCAGAGTAGCAAGAGCATTAAAAGTAAATATTTGGAAAAGTATATATACAAAGAGAGTGAAGTTTTGGCTTTTACCTGTACATCTGAAGCCAATGACTAGCAATATCTAAAGCCAGCAATGAAAGGAAGACCAAGCTAGGCCTGTTTTAAGATAAAGTAGAATCAATCAATCTACTCCAACGCAAAAGATGAAAAGGGAAAATAGATACAGAGAAATATCCTTACCTGTAGACTTGAGAAAGAATCACGAGCAGACAGGCCGTGCTAACTCTATAACAAAGAACATTCCCAAAATGTTAGAATCTATTAAATATACAAGTAGGCTTGATCCTCACATATATGTAGAAGAAAGAATATTCACCTATCTGTGACCATGTCGAGAACAGCTCCAAACGTTGAAACTGAGAAAGAAAGAAAGAGAAGTGAGTCAAGTTCCAAGTTTCCAACTTCTTACACATATTTTAGTAATGGCATGTCTTATCTTTCAGAATCACAATGAAGTCATGATCAGTGTATGCAAAGAAAAGTTGATATCTTATAAGGTTTACAGCAACAGAGAAGAAGTTGTTAAACCTTGGTTGAATCTACGAGCACACCAGCCATCAACAGCATCACAACAAAAGCTGTACATCCACATTAATCAAACAAGACTAGTATTAACACCATTACACAAAACATGAACACTCCTTGATAAATAAATAAACAGAAGATTAAAGTCTCACCTAAAGAAATAAAGCAGGGAGAAGAGTGTTTTGTTGGAGAAACACACAGCAAAGGCAACACAGTTCAAGAGAACTCTCATGTACCCTGTAGCAATTTCAACAACAATCACTCTCACACTAAAAAAACAATAAAAGGAAGAAGCTTTTGTGTAAATCTCGAAAGACCCACCAACAATGTTAGGTATATAAAGGTAAACAGACAACATCTCTGGTCTAGGTCTCTCCTTCTTCCCCATTTTTTTCACTTTGCAAAAATCAATCTCTAAACCCTAATTCAACGATCCACCTACACAGAAGCAAAAAAAGGATTAATCTTTCTCATAACCCATCATCGTAGACACGAACCCATCTCCGGTAAACCCCAGAAATCTGAGAATCAGTAGAAAAAATTAAAAAAAATCGAACGATCCTCACTTGGAAACGAGTTAGGAACTTGTGGCGATCTTCAAAATGCGAAGAGATCTGTAGAGAGAGAGAGAGAGAGGCTCTAAAGTTCTTCAATGCGAAATCGAATCGAATCGAATCAGATTCGAAGATTACTATTCCTCAATTTGTCCGCTTTCAACATTCAAAAAAGTGGAATTTTTCTGATTTGGAGTTTTATCAAATAAACCCTCCAAGTTTAAACATTCTTAAGATTATTCCAAAAAGAAATGAAAGTATTTATTTAAGTTATCAAATAAACCCTCCGAGTTTAAACATTCTTGATAATTCGCCGCAATAGTTACTCTTGGATCGGCATATTTTTTGTCAATATTTATTGACTAGTGCATATATAGGTCTACATATAATTTGAGACTCACATAAGTATTTGATTTTAACTCTAATTATATAATTGACATGTTAAATTATATATGTTAATGAAAAAAATAAAAACTTTAGATTATATGCAGAATCAAATTTTTCTTAAGAATTATTTAAAATTGCGGCTAATATAAGAAGAATTTTGCCGTTACAAAACGCCTAGACTAGATCCAACATATGATTTGTAGAAAGAATGATAAGAAGCGTTACGCAGGCAGAGCAAGAGCGGTGGTAAGAGCATCTGCATTGGAGGTTCATGGGAGAGGTTCACACGCGGATCAAGGAAAAAAAATAATAAAATATGTTGATTTTGGTGAATCCGGGTCTTGGAGGTTTGTCGGGATGAATCCGGTTCACACGGGGTTCGCCACGTGGCGTTTCGGGATTAGTCCGTTATTAATTTTTTTTTTTTTTTTTGAGGAAAAGCAAACAAAAAAAGAAAATTAATTTTTTTTTCTATGAACCCCTCCCCCATCAGGTTCACTGATGGGGATGCTCTAAGAACACACTACAAGAATTGACGTTTAAGCAAAAGAAAAAAAATATTAATATAAATAAACCTACATTCAGTTCATCCTATAAGTAGATTAATAAAAATTGCATCAACTACTTTCCATTGTTGTGACCCTTAGCCTCATCCACTTACGTCGCCAACATCTTGTGAGCTTCCACTACAAGCAGAACCATCATCAACATCTAGTAAGCGTCCGCTCCGTAGATAGGCTTCTCTCCAGCTGCTAGGCTATTCCAAATCCACACTTCACTTACATAACGAAGTAGCCATCCCGATGCTTCATCAATAGGGTTTGGTAACTTCTCAGGCTGTGCCAAGAGAATATTAGTATTTATCGATCTCAAATAGCCAAGAAACTTAACGTAAATTGGGTCTTTTGCTTTTGATCCTGCGATGAGCATCACATTCGCTCGTCTCTCCTCTTTTTTCTTGCGTATTCCCCAAAAGGTAAGGTCGTGTATGATCTTGTCAACCCTTGTCTGTTCATCTCCTGTGAATACGCACTTGATTCCGGTTGTTTCGATATCTTTTGGGTTAAGATTCTCATCACCGTAAACATATATAGACACTTTTCCATAGTAACCCATATTCTTGAGAGCTAGTTTGATATTGTGATAAATCTTTTCTGGAGTGAGACCATTAGGGATGGGACAATAAGCAATGTCCCAAAAGACACCTGTGTCTGCCACGACGAACTCGCTGATCGGGTAAGATATAGGCATGGTTTTGGACGGAGGATGAAAAAAAAACTAGAAAGTTATTTGGACTCCTTTATAGTATGTGTAACAATACTCTCGAGTCTTTGGAATGATTATCACAATCGATCTTAGTCCCTTTTTATAAGCAAAGATGACACCGACTAAAAGGAAAATAAGGTATAAATAGCAATTCTGTAAAAATAAGGAAATAGAAAAAAAAGGAAAGTCTAATTAGACTAGAACTTTTATTTTCCTTTTTAGTATATTTCCTTTTTCCGAGGTGAATAGACTTCGATTACTGGATGTGTATCCACGAGAATATTACTTTTTTTTTTGACCAAAACGAGAATATTACTTATCACTTGAATATCTTCTTTTTTTTTTTACACAATCAAAATCAATTAAACAAAAACAAGGATGGAAACATAAACAGAGCCTAAAGCTCATCCATGTTGATAGATCCCAAAACCTTACCAGATCTATACTTTATGCAACCACAAACACAATGCTTTCTTTAGACCATGCTCTTCTCCGCATAGACCGCATTCCTTTACCATATCAAATTACAATATGACGGGACTAAAACAAAAACGGTGAGTTATACAAACTTCCAGAAACAAAGCCAGCGAATAAAGAAACATCCCTGGAGACAAAAGCCGGCGAGTATACAAACTCCCGGAGATAAAGCCAGCGGATAAAGAAACATCCCTGGAAACAGAAGCCGGCGAGTATACAAACTCCCGGAGATAAAGCCAGCGGATAAAGAAACATCCCTGGAAACAGAAGCCGGCGATTATACAAACTCCCGGAAACAAAGTAGACTCTTGAACTCTGGTCGATGAAAACGCCATCTAAGACCTCCAATTCTTACACGCGGACACTCGCATCCCAATCTCAGCCATCTACCGACTGAAGAATGGCCACCTCCTCGCAAGAGAAAAACTGAAGGACAGAACCACTGCGACGCTAGTAACCCCACCAAAAAAACACAGTTTCTAGGAAGAGAAAGTAGATGCACCTGTAACAAGACCACATCCAGAAGACGACCCACAAACCAGACTTAAACTAACTACTATCATAGCGACCCATTGCTTTCAAGGACCGAAAAGAACAGGTACGAGGATGAATGACGACATCGATAACCCACAGAGACATACCTGAGTAAAGATTCAACAAGTCCGATGGAAGAATTAGCAATCCACATCAGAGCCGGCTTATAGTCTTTCACCGCACACCAGAAAAAGATCCGGATCTGTTCAAACCAACAAGAAATCACTGGAACAACGATAAAATCAACCACCTCTCACCATTCCAAAACCATTGAAAGTCTCAGATCTAAAAGATAAACCTACTACAAGACATTATTTACCCTCTCACGACACCGATGAGATTCGCCGGAAGCCGGAGAGGGCAAAACGAAAATCACTCTTTTTCTCTCTTAGACGGCTGCTAGGGTTTCTTTTTCACTAATTGAGCCGGTTTTTTTATATAACAACGCATCACTTGAATATCTTCTCTCTTTGCTTTTTATTTGAAGATAAATATATTTTTTGAACTTAAAGAGAAAAAAAAATTAAAAGAAGAAAAATTATAAATTATAAAAATACAGACTATCTTTCTATTTAAACATATAATGTTTTGCATGCTAGTTTTAACTTTAAATAAAATATAAAGAAGAAAGGTAATAAATATAAGAATGAAAACTATGTTTTATATACATATATAAGGTTTTGCTCATTTTAATTCTCACTCTGTTTAAATATAATATTTGTTAATTAAAAAAACTGGTTAAGGGAAGTTTGAGTAAGCACGCCATTACAACCAAATTTAGTAAGAAAACAACAAAAGACGGTAAGTAATTATTGAAGCATCTAGCAATTTTATTTCAAACTTTGGTCTTAATTCCTAAGTAGTGTTTTGATGATTATACAAGGCGTCTGCATAGCGTGACACCATCTCCAACGGAGATCTGAGAGATTTCCACTCGAGGATCCAAAGCCAATTTCTTATTGAATTCTATAAGAGCTGCTCTTGCTTCCCTCATAAACTCAGGAACGTTCTCTTCTTCCTCAACCACAAAACTAAACCACAAGGTGTTGTCGAACGCAATGATGCCTCCAACTTTCACCAATTTCAGAAATCTCTCAAGGAAGTTGGCGTAGTTTGGCTTGTCAGCATCAGCAAATATGAAATCAAACTCCTGATTCTTCTTGTGTCAAATGTGGAATATATGTAATGATCATTAGCCAAACTAAAGTAAGTTAAGCTTAATTAATTAATAGGAACACAACTTTTTTACTTACGTCGTTAACCAATTTGTCTATGGCCTCCATACCATCGCAATAGATGAAATTGACCTTGTGATCAACACCTGCCTTCTTCATAAACTCTAGTCCCACTTCATAGGCTTCTTTGTCAATATCTATTGCAGTAATCTGCATCAAAATCAATACTATTAAATTTAGATCATTACCAATTGATATTAGTTGTATCCAATTTTTTTTTTAAAACATATTCCGCATCTATTTTGTAATTATAACTGCTTATATGATCAATACTTTTACAGAACAGGTGAGCAAAATTAACAAAACAACTCCATACTAATCTTCTATTTTTAAAGACTACTAAGGGAAACAAAACTCTTATTTTTCAATTAACCAAATGTATCCTACAAATATGCTTTAAAAATACATATAGATGGTTATAAAAAGACACAAACATCAATACTATTAAATTTCAAAAAACCATGGGGATGATTGGTTGAACTGTAGCTGTAAAATTTTTACTGTGTAAATTAGTCTGTAAATTTTTTTGATTTAGCTGTAAAAGATGTAGCTTTAAAATTTATTGCTACAGCAACATATTTTCTACAGCAAAAAAGATGTGGCTTTAGAAAATAAGGATTTTACAACCACTTTTTTAGTTTTTGGCTGTATCTTTAAAAAATAAGATAAAACATGATTGGTGATTTAAATACTGTAGATAAAAATTAAAGCTAAAGTCAGCACTTACAACCCAACCAATCACCCCCAATATTGAAAACCATAACCCCGTCCATGAAAAGACGGATCAAAATCTAGTTTTTTTTTTTAAAGTTTCACCAGGACCGTTGGTCAGTCTTAAACAATTTGTTGAATCGGCCTACGCAAATTTTGTTTATCAAATGTAGTTGATCCAGAAACCATTTTCTTGAAACAAATTACATGTTCCAATTTCTATTTTTATTTAAAACTTGCTTCAGTTTTTATTGAGGTAAGTTTGATAAACAAATATATATCTAGTGGCACATGCTAAAGTATGAAAGATGTGAACAATATGATTATAAGCAAGAAGAAGAAACATTACGCGACCATCTTCAGGCAAAGCAAGGGCCGTGGTGAGAAGAGAGTAACCAGTGAAAACACCGAGCTCAAGTGTGTTCTTAGCGTTTATGATCTTTAAAAGCATCGATAGAAAAATGCCCTCATCAACTGGAATCACCATTTCGATTCTGCGTTTTCATTAAAACAAGAAAACTGAAAGTATAAATACAACTACTTGGTTATATTTATTTAATGATCTTACTGATTAAAAAGACTTACAAGTTGCCAAATTTCTCTTCTGTTACTCTCCGAAGCTCCTTGAGCAGCTCATGCTCTCTTGGATACGCTGACGTTTCCAAGATGTACTGTGTCAGTCGAACACAACCAAATGTATCAAATATCTTAATTTATCGAGACAACCAAACTTTTCTGAAAAAAAAATTATTAAAAGATTACAAACCTGTCTCAGAGCTTCACTCTTAAGGATCCCTTTGGGAGGTATATCATCCGACATATTATGAGGAGTATTCTTATAGGTGTCTTTGTAATAAAGAAATGTTACGCTTTGGTCATTGGCTAGTGGGCATATGAATATGTTTTATAAAGAAATATTTAAATACACTTGTGTCATATCTTTTGTATGGATATGTAATTTAGGCAGAAAATACTGAGCTGAAACACGCTAATATGCATATGTTCTATAAAAACGATATGAAACACACATATTACATTTGACCTCGAAAAGCTGAAGAAAATAAAATTAACATGATCTTCCATAATGGACCCTAGTGACAAATTTCTCGGAAGGCCAGTATCTTCACAAACTTAAGAAAATTTATTTAGCTTGGAATAGTCAAAAGATCAATGATCAACGATGTTCCAAAATCAACGTTCATATTTCACTATGTAGATAGATGGATACTTCACCAATTAATAACCATGAATGAGGAATTAAGGGAGGAGGAAAAGTTACATGATGAAATATTCAAAGGAAAGAAAACAATATAAAGTGGTTCAGAAACTATTATATCGATAGAAATTGATACAAATTCAGTTACTAGTATTGTGCAACAAATGAGTATGCGAACAAGATGTAGAGCGATGATCAATCAAACACACGATTAAATACAAATCAGTGATAAAATGACGAAAAGTGATTATTGAAGTATCTATAACAGTTTTATTCCAAACTTCTCAAACTTTGATAACTTTAAGTAGTATTTTGTTCATATAAGGCGTCTGCAGAGCGTGACACCATCTCCAATGGAAATCTGAGAGACTTCAACACGAGTATCCAAAGCCAGTTTCTTATTGAACTCTATAAGAGCCTCTCTGTATTCCCTCATATGCTCAGGAACTCCCTCTTCGTCCTCAGCCACAAAACCAAACCACAAGGTGTTGTCAAATGCAATGATTCCTCCAACCTTCACCAATTTCAGAAGCCTCTCGTGGAAGTTGGGGTAGTTTGACTTGTCAGCATCCGCAAATGCGAAATCAAACTCTTGATTCTGTTTTTTATTTTTTCAAATGTGAAATATGTACGTATGATCATCAGCCAAAAAATAATAAGTTAAGCTTAATTAGTAAATAATAGGAACATATTCTTTTTTACGTACATCATTCACCAATTGGTCTAGGGCATTAATACCATCGGAATGAATGAAATTGATCTTGTGATCAACACCTGCTTTCTTGATAAACTCTAGTCCCACTTCGTAGGCTTCTTTGTCAATATCTATTGCAGTAATCTGCATCCAAATTTTAAATCAAAAGAATTACTAAAAAGTTAGAACTTTCTGAAGGTTATTTTTTCATTGTTCTAGTTGCACATGCTAAAGTACATAAGATGCAAATAATATAAATGATTATAGCAAGAAGCTGAAATATTACGCGGCCATCTTCAGGCAAAGCAAGAGCTGTGGTGAGAAGAGAGTAACCGGTGAAAACACCGAGCTCGAGAGTGTTCTTAGCGTTCGTGATCTTTAAAAGCATCGATAGAAAAAGACCCTCATCAACAGGAACTTCCATCTCGCTTCTGCATTTTTCATTAAATAAAAATTCAATTAAAAACAATAAAATATAACTAAGCCCTTTATCAAAATAATAATAATAATAATAATAATAATAATAATAAATAACTATTTAGATTTTTCTTATTAAAATACACAAACCATTTTGTATTTTTATCAATAAAAACTAATAATATTGATATTCCAATTCTCGAAATTAAAGATAAACTTTGTAATTTTTTTTTTTTGATAAGTTTTAATATTAGGATCCTATTTAATATGATAAGAAGACTTACAAATTGCCATATTTCTGGACTGTAGCTTTACGAAGTTCCTTGAGCAGCTCATGCTCTCTTGGATACGCTGACGTTTCCAAGATATACTGTGACAGTTGAACACACAACCAAACATATTAAAGATCCTTTTTTATAGCCAGACAAAACCAAACTTTGCATATTAACAAAACTTATATGTTGATCATGTAATGTTTTGAAAGAACAATTATAAAAAGAAACAAAAACCTGTTTCAGAGCTTCGCTCTTGAGAATCCCTTTGGAAGGTATTTCATCCGCCATCTCTCAGTCTCGTGATTGTGAGGATAAGTTTGGAAGGTATTTTTGTTATAAATAGACAGTCTGTTACACTTTGGTCAGTATTGGCTTCTTTCTTATGGTCAAACTAATTGTGCAACTTAAGGGTAGAAGAGTCTACTACGAGAATTAAGGACCAATAGCTATGGATCTTATCCACGATACATGACTTTTCCACCAAGGCTTAGGTATGAAATTTCAATGATTTGGATGGTATTCGATGCTTTTATTTCTTTTAGAAGTGTTGAAAGATGTTGTGGGGGCAGTCCTATTGGATGACCATCTACACTGTATTGACTAATCATATAAATTAATTGGCTGTGACGCGTAAGTTTCTTTTTCTCTTTTTGTTCCCCTAAAATAGAGTTATGTAGCATTGTCATTTGAAGTATATATACATCAGATTCTAAATAAAAGTTATGTAGCAATGTCAAGTTGTGATACCCAACGCCTAGAAATCAACTTATATGACAGTTATGTATGTGGTGATCTTAATCATCCTTGTTGATGAAAATTCATCCACATGATAAACAAAATTCAACAAAAGCCGGCTGACAACCCTGAAGAGAAGAAGCGTCGCCAGAGCTAAATGTCTGACTATTATACAGTGTCAAAGAGAGCATGACCAGTTCCTTGAGCAGCTCATGCTCTCTTGGATAAATGGGAACATAAAAGTCAAGCTCTAACGAGATAAATGATTTCTTGAGAAAAGCTGATATGTTTGAAGTTCTGCTTGGATGAGAATCATGTCCCATTGATCATACCTGATTTATATGATGATGGAGCATGGGAAAAGCTTTTGTTGCTGAGTCCTTCAAAGAGGAAGAATGCGAAGAAAGGAAAGGATGATGAGACATTGAAGGAGGAGGAGGATGAGACGATGGTGTTAGACAAGAGTGGTACGTTGAAGCTGATACAAGAAGAATTGGAGAGGGAAGATGAGTTTGATTTTGGACAGCTTACTCCAGAGAGGTCTAGGAATCATGAGATTCTAGCACAGCATATAGCATTGCTGGCTTCAAATGAATTAGAAATAAAAAACGATGAGTTTTTGAACATATCAGATCTTTGTTATGTAGTGAACATCATAAAAAGTATCACGTAGACGTTTCTTTACAAATTTAAAATGATTCGAATGTATTAATGTTTTCATTAATTAATATAAATAATTTATTCATTAGATCAATGTATTTTGCAATTAATATTTAACTAAAAAAGTATAAATTTTAAATTAATACTTTTTTGTAAGAAAAATGCTAAAATGATATGTAAAAGAAATAGAATATCTAGTAACCAAAGAGCAATTTAAATATTTATGAGGTAATGACATGTCAGCATGATGTAAATAATACGCCAGTTAGTAGTTATTGGTAAAATTGTTTATTTTTAATATATATTAGGTGGTTGTCCGCAAATTTACGGGTACAAATTAAAATATAATGTAATATTGTTATATTTTTGATATGTTATGATATATTTATAGCTTATCAAATTGAATGTGAATTGTTGATAGATATTTTCTAAATAAAAAAGGTTTTAGTTATTTTATTTAGTTTGGTTATTTGATTAATTTTAAAAGTATAAATGGTATTTTTAATATTTTATTAATTTTTTAATCAATAACTATATATGACTGATTAGCATTTTAATCCATTAAGAATGTAATTTCATTTTTAACATTCACATCCAGACCATGTATATATATATTAATTGGTTTGTAAATCAATTTTTTCATCTTAAATTTATTAAAATCGAATAATATGAATGATGTGACAAATAAATCCATACTTGAAACTAAAGTACACGTACAAATTATAAAAAAAAACAAAACTATATATATGTGGATTCTCATTAATTTAATAAATTTCTAATAATATTTTCATGTAAAAATTAGTTTTTTATTAATTTATACATTAATAGGCATTCATAGTAATAGTGTTCGTATTTAATAGATACTAAAAAATTTCATATTGTGATATAAATAAATTCCAGCTAGTAGAAAGTTTAAAAACATTATGAACAGTTTTGAATTAAATGATTCTGATAAATGAAAACAGTTAGACACACACTTCTTATTGATATGATGTGTAAGTAAAAAAAAACGCTTATTTAGTTAGCTAGTAATTTATTTTATTTTAGTTATCTCTATAACATGCAAAAGAATTTTTTTTTTACAAAGTTTCTTAAACAATTTTTTAAAATATATATAAAATTATTTATGTTTTACAATCGATATAGGTTTTACGGATTTGTTGATAAAAAGTAACTTCAACTTGTTTTTGATATGTAGAATATGTTTTAAATTTACTTTATATATACAAATTTTTCTAATATCATTTTCTATGCAATAGACAACTAATCAAAATTATTAATAACTGTATTTTATTTTTAATTATACATTAATATAACATATAAGGATATTTTTAATATTTTTGTAAACAATTCATTTAAAATGTGAAATAATTTACCAGATTTTAAATGAAAATCTTAAATATACTTGTTATCTAAAATTAATTTTATTTTTATTTTAGATTATATTATACATATAATTTATATATTATATAGAAAGTGAGAATGTGATATTTTAAATATAAAAAGTACTCTAATCATTTATAAAAGTGATAACTCAACTATAATATCCAATTATCAATTACATTGATTGATATTTTTTAAAATTATATATTTGACTTTTTTGGATTCATTTGATACATTTTTATAGTATATGTACAGTATATAATGAGTAGAAATATTATTGGATTTATATTTATTAGTTTTTTGCAATCTATGATTTATTGTATCAAATATAAATATAATATTTTTAAATTGTTTATGTACTATCATATTATTTATATCTATATTATAATTTTATATAATGTAATATATGGTAATCAATTGTTTCAGAAAATATGTTTTTCTTTTAAATTTAAGATGTTTATTTTTTTTATTTGGTAACATATATTAGATTAAATAGTTATATGATTCGTTTCCTATTAAAACTTGATTTAAATAAATGAAAATCTAAATACCAATAACCAATTAAATTAAGAGAACTAATTCTAAATTTCACCTATGAGTGACACTTAAGAAAAAATCACTAAAGTGACTTCTCAATTAATATATAGTAGGATATATATAAGGAATGTGATAAAAAAACTACTTTAAAATAATTTCACTGTTCACAAAAAAATAGATAGTTTGACTGAAGTATTGACTTTAGGAAAAATAGTATATGCACTACCTTAGAATACCCTATATATAATATTTCTTAGATAATAATGTGTATTAGTCTCCTCAAACAACAACACATATCAATCGGCAGTTTATATAATAATCACAAAAGTTTTGTCTAGTTCACTTGATCCTTTTCACCCATATGGCTCGATCATCCGCACATGTTTCATATGCTGCGCCAACAGTACCAATGGCTATCATCATGACGGTTTTATGTTTGTTTCTAGCCAATAATGTGACCCATGCCCGAACGCCGGCCACCTACATTGTCGGCGACGAGTATGGTTGGGACGCGATTATTTTAATGGACACTTGGGCAAAAGGCAAAACCTTTTACGCTGGTGATATTCTCGGTATGGAACGATGTTTAAAAATCGTATTTGTGCTTAATAAATCAACAAATACTCCAGTCCTAATAGTTTAGTTGAATAAGAGAGGATTTGATGGATAAATCATCTAAGTCCGGTCCAATCTATGTATGAAAACCGGATTAAGGTGTTATGTTATGATATTGATCCACTCTCGTCCTAATCAAACCGGTTCATCGAACCAACTCTATTAGAAAGGGTAAATGTTTCTAGACAATAAATTTATATTGATATATAATATTGTGTTGCATTGCAGAATTCAAATATGATTTATATTCAAGCAATGTGATGGTGGTAAATCGTACCGGCTATGAAACGTGTATACCAAACGAGAATGCGGAAGAGCACAGAACCGGTGACGATAGGATCCAGCTTCCATATGGTCTTAGCTATTACATCGGAACAGCAGATGCTGCTGATTGCTCAGCCGGTTTAAAGATGGCCATAAAAGCAAACTGAAATAAGTAATTGGTTGAAAGTTGAATTATTATTGCAGGTTTTTTTATGTAAGAGTTTATTCACCCAAATTACCGTATTAATAAAAACATTATCTGATAACTTTATCATGTTTTTATGTCAATTTGTACTTTGTTATCCTCCAAACATTATTCGAGAATTTATTTTCTCAGATTTTTTTAATGTGCTATCATCACATTAATTTTTACAAAATCGAAAATGGTTTTTGAAAATAATGAACTAGATTTTGACCCGCGCAACCGCGCGGGTTTTGTTTTCATTTTTTGTATACATATATATATATACAAAAAATGAATATATATATATATAACATATTTTATATATTTAAATGTTTTTATAGTTATTACAAATACAACAGTTTTATAGCTTATATGTTAATATAAATTGTTTCAATAGTTCTTATTATATATTTATCTTTTTGGAATTGCATTTAGTTATTAATACAAAAATATGTATGAAAAAATATATTTGAAAATTATTTTATATTTAATTTATACTAAGTTCTGATTTGAGTTTCAAAGTTAGATTATTGTTTAGCAAGCTTTTATATTTATTTAGATAATATGTTATTATAAAAGTTTAAAATATGTTAATTTTCTACATGTATTATATAGTTACTAATGTTAATCCGTTCTTCAACATATAATATATTTTAACATTAAAATTTGTTTTTATGAAAATAAATTGAACAGTTTAATATAATTTTATAACATTTCACTTGATATAATAATTTTTATTTAATATGACAGATTATGATTATAAAGTAGATAAAAAGAATATTTTGCATTTTATAAGAGATAGTTGAATATATATATATATATATATATATAAATTAATATATAATTATATTGCATTACTAATTCGAAATTAATAAAATATTTATATAACTTCTTAAAGTTAAGATCTTGCCAAAATATTTTCAATATATTTATTAAAAATAATTAATATATATTTATGTTTAAAATAAAAAGATATTAAAAGATATTATGATTAAAGTAGTTAGAAAGAAATGAAATATATTTAATAAATTTTTTTAACAATGGTCCAAATAAAAAAATCACACATGAAATGAGTCATGACTTCTCTTTTAATATAATAGATATATCATTTTTATATTTTTGGTAAGATTCTAAAAATATAGTAATAATAACTCACATTTATATTATGCAAATTAAAAATAAACATTAATTATTTGAGAAGAATTTTTCTCAAATTTATATGGACAATCTCTAAATTTTTATATTGAAGTTACTTTTTTATAAATTTAATGTATAATCGATATATTCATTCAATCATTCTTACAAAAATAGTATGAATTTAAAAAAATCTATGACCAGACAAAGTTAAATATTGTAACATGGACACTGAATGAATGTAAAATTATATCATCAAATCAGTTGATAAATCTAGTGCATACCTATTTTTGTATTGCATCAGTTTACAAACGAGATAGTATAGATTTAACATCTACTAGAGAACCAACACAAGAGGATGGAGTCATGGAACCATAACTTAGCCAATTCCTAATGTTTTTGTCAATGATTTTCCAAAGATATCTCTCTCACATACATGTCATGTAAATTCCAGATTCATACATCGTAACTCTACAACTATACATCGGTCATATTTAAACCAAAGCGTATTTATTACATAGAACATATACAACAAACGCAACGATTACAAAGGCAAACGACCATGATCAGTTGCGAACGGAAATAGATCTCTCACCTAAACCGAGTGGTGAACGTGAACGTTGACTCCTCTTGGTCTCGGAAAGGACCCTTCTCATCTCCGGTTGATGCAGCAGCGATGGCTTGCTTATTTTCTCACATTCTCTCTTTATCTTCACCACTTGGCTATGTTTTGGACCATCCTTGTTTCCATGATTGGTCTTGTTCTCCATTTCCACCACACAAACCCCGAGACAAACAAAGAAAACCCTTTTATAATAACTTGTTCTGTTTTATAAAACGACACGAGTTGTGTGTGAATGTAGAAGAGAAATCAGGTTGGTGAGCAACGCCGAAATGATTTGAGAATATTTTATCATACAGAGAGACGATGACTACTTCTCTTTCTTAGTCTTATCTCTTTGTTTATAAGCAAACGTGAAGAATGAGACAAGGACGTTGTCTTCGGAAAGAGTCGGTTTTTGAACGTTAGGAGACCAAGTGGTTGCCATGTGGACTGAACTCGTTGGTCAACTAGAAGATTCTAGAGGATATGCTTTTGCGACCATTTCCTCTTTAATCAGTCGTTAATTTTTTTTTTTTGAGCAAAAATCAGTCGTTAATTATTATGCAAAAGCATTAGGCTCGTGTTACTTTTTTGTCATTAAATAAATTAGGAAGTTTACACGTTAGCTTTCATCGTCACTCTTGTTCATACCATAAGATTAAGCCTTATTTTTGACGTCCATGAATTTGTATAGTTTGGGTTTGTTCATGAAAACATAGAAATTTAAAACCTTATAATCTTTCCTATTTCATGTTAAATGATGTTTAAGTATATAAATTAAGAAATCAGATAAGAAAAATTTGTGTCTTTAGGTGTATTAGTGGTAATTTTAAATTTATTATTGCAATTTTTATGTATTTATCTTGACTATAGATATATTTTTTTGCTGAAATGTAATAAAATAAAACAGGATTGGTAAAATATAAAATATATGATGTACATATATACAGTTTTTCCAAAATGTATTTCTTTAACGTCTGAGAAAAAAGAATTTCCAAGATGTATTAGGCAAAAATTTATATCCCAATTATTTGGACTGTAAGAACTATCATATTTTTTCAATACTATATAAATCCAACATAAAAAAAAACCAACTGATATAAATTTGTTATGTTATATGTACATCATATATTTTATATTTTACCAATCCTGTTTTATTTTATTACATTTCAGCAAAAAATTAGGAGATGATTTCCAATTGTCATGATTTTTTTTTCCGTTCTGTTTCACTTATTCTATGAATTCAAAGGGAGTTAGTTATCTTTAGGCTTTCTTCATGTAGGTTCTTTCTAATCCTAACATTCGATTGATTTTACGTAATACATAGAACTAGATACTAGATAGTAGGTTTAGTCTCAGTTCGGCCAATATCCTTCCATTTGTATTTAGTCAAGATAGAATTCGAATTTCTCACGTAGACTGGATTTATCAATTAAAAAGATGAGTGGAATTCGAACAAACAAGACTACTCAACTTTCGGTATAGTGGTGGTAGAACAGAGAATAAGAATCAACTAAATGTCGTGATGATATAGGAGTAATTACCATAGGGAATCATATCAAAAACTATTTCAAATCAACACTACACTACATGATTTGTATATATATATAGAGGCACCAGAAAGATTTTAATTATCCATATCAAAGAACACTACAAGAGAAGTGTATATAAAGAAAAAAAATGCTTGACAAACTTATAGGAGGGTACGGGTACGGCCACAAGAATCACAGAAGCAGTGGCTACTCCTTCGAGGAGCACAAGGAGTTCATGTCTTATGAAGAGTCACAAGGAGGCTACTTTGACCGTCAAGCCCGATACGATCACCACATGAGGCTTCCTGCCAACCACGGCCGTCCACCCATGGCTCACATGCCTGCCTTTGATGAAGAAGATTCAGACTCAGAGGTGGAGGAGTTTTATAAGAGCAGCCAGAGCCACCACACTACGGTGCTGCCACATCACGGCAACAACCACCACCAACAGCCACCTCATATGAACTTCATGCCCCCACCTCCGATGGCTCAACCTCACCACCATGTAAGCTGTCTCTTAAGGTCTTGCAATCTAACATATCATATGATATGTTGTAGATATTCTTCCATTTTCTTTTTTAATAATATGCATTATGTGGGTCCACTAGGCTACGTGCATGTTTGGACTGGTGTCTTATAAACATAGAAGTCCTGAAACATGATAATTTTTTATTTATGGAATCTGATAATAAACTTTGGGATCTTTTTGACATGATGTCATATTTTCCCTCTTATAATAAAATTTTGTGTGGTTTCTCACCATAGGTAATTTTGTTAATGATGATTTTTAGGGAAAGATGGGTAATGAATGGCAGGGGATGCATGAAGATGCATACTATGGAGGGCAGGGGATGCAGCAACACGGTGGGCATGGGATGAAGCATCTGGACAAGCTTATGACTCCTAAGGTTCCACCACATCATGTATACATGATGAACCCTAGCCATAGCAGTGGCAGTGGCCACTCAGTAATGTTTAAGGCTTCGGAGAACTGGCGAGTCAGCAACAGTAGCAGCCTCCACCACAAGGCCGGATGGGGTAATAGGCGACCCTGACTGCACCCAAGTACTGTGCCGGTTCACAAAATGAAAAAATGACTAAGTATACTAAATAATAAAAGCATAACTAAGATATGTGCGTGATCATGAACATGTTCCAGTATCGTACTAAAACCAAATATGTGACTTTTCACAAAAAAGAAAGAAACAATGTTCTTTTTTGATGGACGTATGATTACTAAGGAGTGTTGTTGTTGATGTGTATGATAAATAAAAGTGGTTGATTGCCTCGTGCTCCCCGAAAGGTTGATTGCAGGAAATTAGTTTCTACGAAATATTAGATTACTTTAATTCCAATAGTTCTTGGAGAAATTTTCACAAATATTAGGAAATAATCATATTACAAATATTTATTAATACATATATTATCAAATCAAAAATCGTCGTAGTTTCATTTCAACTCTATTGTCTCTAACTATAATGAATAAGATCTACCAAAAATCTTCCCCAAAAACGATAACCTCACCATCATTTTTTTTTATCTACGTATACCTTTCAGAGTTCTATCTAAATTTTCATAACATTGTTTGCTCATTATTAGAGCTTTATCCGATATAGTAAATTGATCTTTCTTAGTCAAATATGCTTGATGTGAACCAACACTATTGAACTCGGCGAAAATTCAATTGGGGATAATAGGAATCTTATCTTGAGTGAGTTATTCTTCCCCAAAACAGAAAAGCATCTAAAATATATTATCTCCGTTCCAATTTATTTGTTGCTGTTGAGTAAATTTTTCGTTTTGAGATAAATTTTATTTTATAATTTTAATGCAAAAATTATTCATTTTATATAGTATTTTATTTTTATTGGTTGAAATGTGGTTAGGTGTATAGGTAATGATATTTTTATTTTGAAAATACGTAAAATTAGATTTTTTTTTTTTTGAATCTGTGTTTATAAACCTAAAATAAAATGAAGTGAGAATAAATTATACATACTAAAATAAAACTATAAGTTATATAAAAAAATAACTTTCACTAAATATTATAAGCTTAAAGCAGTTTGACGCTTTAAAATCATGAAACAAAATCTAGTATTTTTATACTTAGATAACAAATCACATAAACTAAAAGTAATGTTTTATAAACTAAAATTTTAATGATTTCAAATGATACAAATAAATTACAATGTTTTATCATTATACACAAGCATCAAGAAATCATTTTACATTTTTTAAACAAAAACATTTATAGTTATCTGATTAACCATAACTCAATCAATAATACAACAGTATACAGAATACTAAAAGTCAGTTAATCTTAAAATTTAATTAATTTTACAGAAAAAAAAAACTGAAAACATTATCTATTCTAAAAATAAAAAACAATCTTCAAAACGTGGACTATTAAAAATAGAGAGAGTAAGGCCTTGATTGGTATAACAGATGAAAAAGCAGTAGCAGTATGCTGCAGAAGCATACAGAAGCTGTATGCTACAGAATCTGTATGTTTTCATTAAAGTTTTTAATAAAGTGATTGGCAGAGCATTAGCAGTATACGATTTTAAAATTGTCATAATAGTTAGTAAAATAATATATTTCTTTTAAAATAATATATAATATATAATTTTATTAAAATAATGAATTTTCATTATATAAGTTATATTTAAAAATTTAATTTTTTTTAAAAAAATATTAAATTATTGTTGGATATAACATATTACTCATATATAAAATTATAGTTATAATTTAATTAATTATTATTAAATTATAATTATTATTAAATAAATAAATTAATTTATATATAAATTATTATTATTTATTTATTGGTAGAGCACTAAATTACTCATATATAAAACTATCATAAAAGTTAATATATAATTTATTTATTAGTGTCTAAATAATATGTTTATATCGATAATATATAAATAATATTATGTTATGTTTGATATTAAAAATAATGATATGTAATTATATAAATTATATTATATTTTAAATGTGAAAAATTGTTCTTTTCAAAAAAATTATAATTTTTATTTTTATTTTTTTAAATATAAATTTATATTTAATTATAAAAATATTGTTTATATTTTTAAACAAAAATAAATTATTTATGTATAAATATTATTAAGTTTTACATTTTCTATATGCAAATGCTCTCCCAAAAGCTCTATATGAGAGCATTGAGCAAAGAGCATTTGGAGAGCATTTGCATTTGGTAAATGCTTTTCTAAATGCTTATTTGCCAAATGTTGATTGGATAATAGAGAGCATAATGCTTATGCTAATGCTCTACCAATCAACCCCTTAGTTAACTTCTAAATTAGTTTTCAGACAATAATATATTTTAAAACAATCAAAATAAATATATTCGTTATAAAATTAAACATCAAATCATCCATAGTACCGCCGACACTTACCAAGTATTTGTAATAGTTGGTCAAGTTATTGAAAACACGTTGTAAAGTTGTTCGTATGTCAATATCTGAATGATTTGGTTTTAACTTTATGTCAATGTCATGACTTAGGAATGATTTGTTTGGCTTTAAGACAATGTAATTATTACTAATGAATGATTTGGTTTTAACACAAATCAAAGAGTGTAGCAGTATTACTGCTCATCATCTACTCAATAAAAAAAAAATGGCGGATGTTCAAGTCATCTCTAAGACAATTGTTCAACCCGAGAGCTACGAACATGGATCAGACCCGGTGAAGATCCATCTCACTCCATGGGATCTCTTGTATCTTCAATCCAATTACGCACAAAGAGGACTCATCTTTCCACAACCCGACCCGGAAACCAATATAATCTCTCAGCTCAAATCCTCTCTTTCCCTCGCTTTAAACATTTTCTACCCATACGCGGGTCGCCTAGTCAAGGTGGAGAACAAAGACGACGAAACGACGTCGTTTTACATCGATTGCGACGGTTCAGGTGTCACGTTCATACATGCCTCTGCTCTAACTATCTCCGTTAGTGATGTTTTAAAACCTGCTGATGGTCTTGTCCCCAGTTTCATAAATGGGTTTTTGCCGGTGAACGGAGTTAAAAACCTTGAGATCACAGAACCGTTGCTTGCTGTCCAAGTAACTGAGTTGAAAGATGGAGTTTTCATAGGATATGGTTCCAACCATATGGTTGGAGACGGAGCTTCCCTTTGGAGTTTCTTCAAAACTTGGTCGGAGATTTGCCGTACCGGGTCTGACCGGAAAATGTTACCTCCTTTGCGTCTCAGTGGCTGGTTTCTCGACGGAATTGATTACCCTATTCGAATCCCAATCTCAGAGACAGTACCATCACCTGTTTCTTCGTCGTTACTTGGCTTACAAGATAGGGTTTTTCGACTTACGAGTAAAGAAGTCTCTGAGCTTAAAGCGAAAGCCAACGACGAGGTTGATTCCGACGACCGGAAAATCTCCTCTCTCCAAGCGGTTTTGGCGCATTTATGGCGGTCAATAATCAGAAACAGTGACCTAAATCCGGAAGAAGTAGTGCACTGCAAGTTACTTGTTGATATGAGAAGAAGGTTAAACCCTCAGCTTGAGAAAGAGTGTTTTGGGAATGTGGTTGGGCCCGCCACGACGACGATAACCGTTGGGGAAATGCTTAACAATGGGCTCGGTTGGGTTGCTTTGCAGATAAACAAAAGTGTAGGGTTACAAACGGATGAAGAATTCAGAGTGTTCGCTGAGAAGTGGGTGAAGGAACCGAAAGTGATATTGGGTAAGAGTAATTCTATAAATGTTTCGAGCTCTCCTTGGTTTAATGTGTATGGTAATGATTTCGGTTGGGGTAAACCGGTTGCAATTCGAGGTGGACCGGAGAGTGCTAACGATGGTAAACTCATTATTTACTCGGGAATTGAAGGTAACATCGAGATTCAAGCGAGTTTAATGTCTCATGTTTTGAGTAAAATATCGAATGATGCAGAGTTTTTAAAGTATGTATATGCTGGAAACAGAATTTAATCAAAATAAGATTTAATGTACTAATGTACTAATAATGTGTGTTTGTAATAAAGAAAATAAAAACTTTTGCGTGAGTTACTGGGTTTTTGGATTCACTTGTTTGATCAATAAAACCTGCAATCTTTAACCATATCATACATCACAAAAGCCACTGGATGTAGAATTCCTATTAATGGATCAAGAAAATGATATTTATAATCTTTTTTTTTTTAAATTCGATTGTAAGATTCTGTTGTGAGCTTTAGAAGAGATGAGAGTATTCACTACATTAACATATACAGACTCTATATGTAAATGCAAAAGACACTTTGTAAAGCTGAATCTGTCAGCGTCTCGCCCTGACTCTCTACTAAACAACTCTCCCTATCATATGGTGGTTGCTGTTGAATTGGAGGAGGAGGAGCCTTCAACTTGTAAGGATCTGAAATAATCCTTCTCAGCGTTAGCCATTCTACTCTGGAACATTGTCCATTCCTTTTTGCATCTGTCTCTCACCTGCAAACACACACACAAACAAAAACACATTGAAGTTGCTTATTTCAAAAGTTATGCGTCTTTGCTTACATCACACAAATTACAACAAAAGAGCTTAGAAAGAAGTTTGTTACCCCTTGCCATGGCGCTTTTCCGTCTACTGCCTCACCCTACAGCAATCAAAAGAGAAAGACGTTATTGTCAGATCAAAGAGGGAAAAAATGGGACATAGGGAGAGAGAGTTTACTTGGCTGCCAAGGGAAGGGACAGTTTGATGAATGATCCACTGAGAATCTACTACACCTATCTTCTCGTGTGCAGGCTGCATTCAGTGTAAAATATAACTAATTAAACCAGTCTTTTGCATGATCAAGAAACAATGAAGATGTCCCTTTCGTACCTCAGCACATCTTCTGAGTGCAAAGTCAAGTCCCCAACCGTGAACCAAATCATTCTGTTTTTAACAGTTAAGGTAAGGCATATAAGTAAAACTGACATGAAGCCAGGTTTTAAAGGGAAGTTGAATGAACAATGAACAAACAGATGATGAAATAAGGAACAACCTGGATCATATGCCACACGCATCTCCAGGCGTCTCTAGAAAATACAGGAGCCATGATCTCAACGAATCTGCATTTGTCAATGACACATAATTTCAAATCTGGTTAGTTACCGTCAGGGAAAAATCAACTCATAACAGGCAGAAAGAAAGAAAGGCTAAGACTACGTACGCAGCACATGGAGGGAGGTGAGGATCTGAGCACCATCCAGGTTTTTCTTCTGTTATCCTGAATCAATTCAAAAGCCAAAATTTTTTTTAGAAAAAAAATCATTATGCAGAAAACTAAAGAAGGTTAGAGGGATATTGATTCATCATACTTGTGGACTTCAAGATCTCCTCTTCTCTTTGTCATCTGCCATGTTAACCCCTTGTTTGGTTCCAAGCCAGGTTGGGAAATCTCAAGACCATGCTTCTTCACCAGCTTTATGTACCTGGAAAAAGAAATGATCACAACAGTTCAAATGAAATGGAAGAACCTTTGCAAATGTGAAGGTTTATAAAAAAAACTTACGCTTCGGCATTAAAATGCTCAACCCCAAGATCTTCATCCCAAATGAATATATAATCATAACGTGCTACAATATCAGGGTGCAAGAACCTCTTTGCATACCACCTAACATATTTTAATATGACAAGAGAGTCAACAGAGTCATAAACATCACCAGAGTAATAGAACTAAAACGAAGTTGCATAGATATTGATTACCATTTTGTTTGCTTTCTCACACTAACGTGTATAGCAGTCTTCGACCATTCAAACTCATCCCACTCAGTTACTCGGCCGTCATAATGAAACAGGAGAATAGTGAAGTTCTCTGAAAACTGTTTGAGAAGACGATAAAATCATATATTGGCGTGATATTAAAACGCAAAAACATGAAAACCAAGAGAATAGACTAACCTTTTTGACACAAGCATCGATGTTTTGTTTCTGCTTAATACCAACAGTAAACGTCACGAGGTATCTTGGTTCGCTGGTCAAATCCTAAAGAAGCAAATCACATACCGTGTTTGATCAGTTCTTTTTCTCTTTATATTATTAAGACTTTAACGCAGCTAACAATGGTCTGAGCGCATACCTCATGAGGTGACCCCCATAATCTGCGCAAATAGAAGTCTGATTCAGCAGCAACTATACCCGGTGGCAATCTTTCAGCACCACGAGGATTTGAAGAAACCCATATCTGAAGAAAGGTCACAAGTCAGAAATGAATCATGAAAACATGGACGGAGAAATGTGTATCCAATAACAATTAATCAAGAAGACACCATAAAGAAAAGGTTAACAAAAACAAATGTACTTAGTATATAGCTTCCTTTATCTTGGCAAGATTAAATCTAAATGACATTAGTATGTAAAACCTATCCCCTGTTTTGAAGTCCAGCATTACTAAAAGAATCAAAAAATTTGTTACATCATTGGGGAGACCTTAAGAGTCTTATTGTCTATGAAAATGAAATTATTGGAGTATACCAAACTTGTAAGAGCTAATGTAAAGTTCCAAGACATTCAACGTCTATAAATAAACTAAGTAGAAGCATGCCTTTGATTTGTCTACTGGACCGGATGAGCTGTTATCATTACTCTTTGAAGATGACCAAGATTTATGGCTATCTGGAGTTGCAATTGCCGAACCCTTTTCCTCTACATATGAGAGATCGTTTGAAGGAAGAAATTTTGTTGGGAGATTCACCTGAAAAGAAGAAAATCTTACTAAGAGAAAACAATATGATAAAACACAGAGCAGAAAGATAAAAAGGTTTTGATTAAACAACCTTAGTGATTGACAATGATGGAAAAGATATTCCAATCAAAAAGCCAAAAGTAACACCAAAAAAAGCTGCTGCAATGATCTTCATTCCATCTTTTGATTTCCTACTAGCCGAACTGAAACAACAAGAACAAAGACTAAGCTTCTCTAGACCTCTTTGAAGACCCACCAAAACTATGAGGACCTCTTCAAAGAAACAAAACCGACATGTTTACCTGCGTGAAAAGATTCCCATATCTTTTCCAAACTACTGATTGCAGTTGTAAGGTTTCTCTCTGGCCTCCTGACAATGAAGAAGCCAGGAACCTGCTTATGGTTAAAACAGAGAGTTGTGATCTCTAGTGTAGCAAAAAGAGGATCTTAAAAGTTAAAACTAAGACGCATACATGGTCAAAACAGAGTAGCATTTTTTTAAAAATAGCCTTCTTTGGTCAATAGAGTTAGTCATTATCATCATAGAATCTACAGATGAATAGAATATAAATGCTTCTAAAGGAGGGGAAAAGACCTGATTACCAAACTATTTAACCAAACCTAACAAATCCTACTAAGAAAATCAAAACACACACGTTTTTACTTCCATTAGATCATTCTCCATTACATTATCCAAATTGCAACCAAAAAAGCTATCAAAACAAACAAGAAAGCATTAACTACAATCATCTTACAAAAACAAAACAAAACATAACACTTTGCTAAGATTGCAATCACAAATTAAATCCTTTTTGGGGAAATCAATCAATGCAGGCGTTAAAACATCAACAGGAAACAGCAAAACGTTACCTAATTTCCTCAAAAATGATCCTGAAAGTACAAAAAGATGCAAACTTTATAATCGAACGAACCTGGGTTCATTAAAAAGATGCAAACTTTATAATCAAAACGAACCTGGGATTTAATCAAAATTAGGATTCCGCACGAGAAAAAAATCGCTTCTCACCCAAACACAAAAACCCAAACCCTTAGAGATGTTAAAACCCGCGTGATCGCCTCAACAGAGACAAAACGCCAACAAAAAAACGTGATGAGAAAAACGGAGACTTTGCTTTTTCTTCTCAGAGAAAATTCAAATCTTTGGTTTGGTGGCGAACCCAAAAGGAGAATTTTCTTCAGGCGTTTATTTTAGGTGGAGGAGAAAGAGAAACCCCAAAAAGCTCAGAAACTCAAAGCTGATTCCTTTAAAAAGTTATATAGAAAACGAAATTAGAATGGTGAAACTGAAATATCGAAATCCCTGAAACGACAGCGTTTTGTTGTGGAGATAAGTTGTCATGATCTGATTGGCTTAAACTTTAATGCGCGTAAAAAAAAAAAGTACGCACGACAAGGACCGACACCGGCACGACGCATATCAGTATAACAAACATCTAATAATGAAATCAAAATTTACTTACACTTACTGTTTGGTGAATGTAACACACAATATTCAATTTTGCGAGTTGTAAATTTTTTTTGTCATATTCTTTGTTGCCACAGAAAATATCAAGATTCAAATTTATGAGATCTTTCCAATAATCACGACATATCTTTTACTATTTGTAAAGATAAAGATTTTGATAGAAGACAGCAACAAATCCAGATACATATAATTCATGGATATTATATATATCTAACCTTTGGAATATGTATGAATGTGATGAATAAGAAACACTATTCATCCAAGGACCGACATCGGCACGTATAACAAACATGTAAATGTGAATGTAAACAAAATCTACGAAAATTCAATTTTCAAATTGCATTTTTTGTCTTTTTTTTTTAATTTTATTTTTGTTGTCAAACAAAACAAGATGCAAATGTTGAGAGATAAAGATCACGCCATATCTTTTACTAATTTTAGAAGATAAGATTTTGATAGAATAAACCAACAAATCCTTACAGAATAGTTAATGAAATTGTTATTTCTAACCCTGAATTTGTTTTTCTTTTTGTTTGAACAAAATAAACTATATTTGGAGGGAGGACAACTTTGTATAAATAGAGCTTGAAATTTATGATATATTTCTATATTTTCCGGGATTTAGTGACCGATGAAGTTTGACTAATGTATTTGGTAATAGGGTTACCAAACTATTTACAAAATGTGGATTTCTTACCAAACTGAGGAGTCATCTTTCTTGAATATGGGAGGACCACACGTTTCTTACTTGTTTTGAAAACTATGCATTAAAATATACATTTCAATATTGTGTTGAAAACGTAATATTTTAGCACATAGATAGTTAGTACAAATAAAATAAAATAAAAGTAGATGTCGAACAAGATGCCAAACAAAGCAATGAGAGGACTGATTTTGCCACCGTATTAGCCATAACATTACTCAATCGAGGTACATATGCAAAGGAAATAAACTGAAACAAGGAACTAAAATGGTAGATGTCGAACAAGATGCCAAACATGCCCGTCTCCCATCTCCACCTCGCGTGGATTCGTATCATCGGCGCTCATGGCTGAGGCCCTCGCCATCCGTTCGGCGGTTATGTATGCCGCTTCGTTGAATGTTAGTTCCCTAATGATCCTGTCCGACTCTCAATCCTTGGTGAAGCTTGTGAAGGAGAGAGGTTCGGTATCAGCTTTGTTTGGCATCTTGTTCGACATCTACCATTTTAGTTCCTTGTTTCAGTTTATTTCCTTTGCATATGTACCTCGATTGAGTAATATTATGGCTGATACGGTGGCAAAATTAGCCCTCTCATTGCTTAACTCATCCTCCTCTCATGGAATGTAAGAAACTTTTTAGAATGAATGAAGATGTGTTTGATCAAAAAAAAAAAATAAACAAAAAAAAATTATTCGTAACAAGCGATACGTTCATTTTGCGTACATGTTGTCACAAGAATATAGCTATTCATTTATTTTACAACACAAAGTCTACCTATATGTATAATATTTGACTCTTTAGGTTATATACATATGAAGTTGTTATTAATTACACACTGGATCACTACTAAATCACAAAAAAATAGACTGTATACATTGGCTTCACCACACATATGCAAGCAAAACAATCGAGGCTAAGAGATGAAAATAAAGTCTACTTGTAACGCCCCGACCGTCCACGGTTAATTGGTCATCCACGTCCGTTCTCTCGGCCCATGAGTCTCATTTCGTTCCAACGGCCGGCCCGTTAATTTTCCAAGGCTCTAGAGTCATATTTATTAACCCTGCAATCACCACATGACCATTTTCCGTGCTTTGGCCTCAATTACACGGTATCGCAAATCACTTTCTGATAGGTCACCCATCTTTTAACTACTCCATCTCAAGCACGCTTAACTCTGGAGTTCTCTTTGGATGTGCTCCCGAAAAGGTATGTGCACTTTGGTGACATAGATAGCCAAATCAATCATTTTAAGTCTTTCCATATATCACAACTCGAAATGTTACACTATACTTCATTGGTTTCAGATACTGCTGCCCTGCAGGTCGGGATCCAAAGCTTTACACGAGTACCACCAGCTACTAAGGCTGTATCGGTATGCGAGGTTATATAACCCTGATCACGCATCCATGGCCACTGTTAAACCAGTCACAAAGTTCCATGTCATATTGTCTTCAACCATGTTCTCCGACATGAGTACTGCTCCAAATGGTGTTAACGAATACATACCTTTCATTTTGTTTTTGGTGGGGGTAATGTTTTTTTTTTTTTTTTTTTGCAAATTTCATATCATTTTTGTTTGTATCTCCAACTCTATTATTTCTCTTAGAGGAAAAAGTCATGTGACATGAGTTGGATACTCGAACCTATCTTATCTTACCTTTCTTAGCATCCTTCATTACCTCTTATTCTTCTTCCTAACCAATATGAAGTCAATCATATCTTCTTTGTTTGCTCTCTATTTTCTTTCACTATCATCATCAGCCCATGCTCAATGCCATTTCCCGGCAATCTTCAACTTCGGAGACTCTAACTCCGACACTGGTGGTCTCTCCGCCGCCTTTGGCCAAGCTGGTCCTCCTCACGGCATTTCCTTCTTCGGCTCACCAGCGGGAAGGTACTGCGATGGTCGCCTAGTCATTGACTTCATAGGTAATTATTAACTAATATATATATAGTCTTATCAAACTTTCATTAGTTTGCGTTAGCGTTTTAGTGATTTGTCTTTCTTTTTTTTTGACGCAGCTGAGAGTTTTGGAATACCGTATCTAAGTCCGTTCCTAGACTCGGTTGGTTCAAACTTCAGTTATGGTGCTAACTTCGCGACGGCGGGATCTCCCATCAGAGCTGTCAACACAACTTTTCGTAGAACTGGATACAGTCCATTTTCACTTGATGTTCAGGTTGTACAATTCTCCAACTTCCACAATAGGTCCCAAACAGTTCGGAGTCGTGGTATGATTCTCTCTCACTCACTTACTAATTGTTATGTATGAGATGAGATTAAGATAACGTGTTTGACTTGTATTTTAGCGGTTCGATTGAATAACAGAAAAAGATTTTTGCTGAATAAGTATCTATAAATTAAATAATCATAAAACGCTAACGCAAACTAGTGTTAGTAGATTAGTAACGTTTTTTTTTACACTTCTGAAGGAGACTAAAACCTTCATACATTAATATTAATGTTAGAACTTTCGAAATTTATCAGTTTATGGAAATTGAATTATTTTAATTTACTATTTTAAAATTTAAATTGTAAACTTAAAGTAATATGTGTGTGTGAAAATGGCATACACATTTGAAATAATTATTAGTAAATTTGACTATCATCACAATAAAATAAATGTTTATGTAAAATGTTAGATTATGCATGTTCATAAGTTTAAAATTTACAAAATTGTGGTTTTAATATCTTCAACTAATGTTAGTGTTTTTCTTTTTCTGATAGCAAAATAAAACAACTAATGTTAGCTTTGTTGATAAAATTGAAACAGTGCAATGATTTATTTACACTTAAGTTGTATAAAAAGTCAATTACTGTGTTTAAATTTTTTCACAAATTTTTAATGCAAAAGAAGTACACTAAAATTTATTTGTACAGTAAGTAAAAATTTTAGCGTTTTCATATTACTAAAAACGTTTTGGATGGTACGTCGAAATGTCACAGGAGGAATTTATACGAAGATGCTGCCTGAAGCCAACATTTTCTCCAAGGCCTTGTACACTATTGACATCGGTCAAAACGATCTCACCGCTGCTTACTTCGCCAAAAAGACTGTAAAAGAAATTGGAACCACGGATGTTCCTGAGCTCATCAGCCAGTTCAAGACTGCTGTCACGGTTGGTCGGCCTCTCTGTTTTATACCCTGTTCCTATGAATGAGAGACATACTTAGTGTGGTTTCTTTTGTCTGGTGACAGAATATTTACAAAGAAGGAGGGAGATACTTTTGGATTCACAACACAGGACCTATCGGTTGTTTAGCGTACGTGATTGAATGGTTCCCTCTTCAAGCATCAGACTTTGATGCATACGGATGTGCCTCTCCTTTGAACCATTTAGCTCAACAATTTAATGACGCCTTGTCACAAGCCGTTACCGAGCTTAGAACTTCTTTGTCTGAAGCTGCCATTACTTACGTAGATGTCTACTCTGTCAAATATGACTTGTTTGCTCATGGACAGAGCCATGGGTTCAATACACCGTTGGTTTCTTGCTGTGGGCATGGAGGGAAATACAACTACAACAGGAAGACTGGTGGGTGTGGGAAGAAGATTACTGTTGATGGCAAAGAGATTTTGATTGGAAAGTCTTGTGATGAGCCTGGGAAGGCTGTTGTGTGGGATGGTATACACTTCACTCAGGCTGCTAATAAAATCATATTCGATAAGATTGTAACTGGATTAAACATGGCTTGTCACAAGCAGTGAACGTTTTCTTCGTTTTATATTAGTGTCTTAAAAAAAAGGGCACAAGTTTGTGTGAAGAAACTGAAGACTCCTATGCTCTGGCTGTCACTGATATAAACTTTTAAGATTTGGTAGTAAGATTTTTGGTGAGATAGTTCATACATTTGTCATATGTGTGGTTGCTTTACTTCTTGTTTAGTTTTTAACACAAGGAGTTGGAAGCATACATACATAGAAAAACTGACTTTGAAAAGCATCCATATAACTCAGAATTTATCAACAACAAAACTCGTTTTGTATCGTTTCCAGACCTTGGTCACACAGCATACATACATAGAAAAACTGACTTTGAAAAGGATCCATATTTCAAACTGACCAACCCCTTTGGTACCTTTTTTCAATACACTACTAGACAGTTACTTCAAAACAAGGACTCAAATTTCATCAAACTTTCGTGTATTTTGAAACTGTAAACAATAAGGTATTAATTCAAGATTAGTTCAAATTATAACTAACAGCTGTTAATTCAATCTTCATTCACGCTACATTTGGAATTAAAAATCACTGAACTTTCGAAATATTGAATGACCGCAGATTGTAAGTTGATTGCCTTTTTTTGGTCTAATATTTTCTGTAAATTATTTTTGTATTGTTGTTGATAACATATGCAAAATTTACTGCAGTTGGTTTGGCGTTAGCGTTAAGGGATATGACATGTCCCTCCCTACTAGGCCTAGGCCTGTTCAATATGATGTTCGGTCTGGCTTCGGTTCATTTTTTTCGGTTATTCGGTTTATAAAATTTAGTTATCATATTGGAACCATATTTAATTTGGTTTGGTTCGGTATTTATACTACCGGTTTTCGGTTTATTCGGTTTTATACCAAATAAGATTATTATTTGATTTAGTTTCATATTATATGAATTAAAAAAAACATATTGTCAAAACTATCATTTATTAAAATAATCCTAGGTGTTCCTAAATATAAAAATGTGAAATTAACAACAAACAAAACGACCAACGATTCAGTTTTGTACAACTTTTCTTATTTTCTCTTTGTTCTTCCAAATAAATTACATGGTACGATCTAATTTCACAATTTCTTACAACATGAAAAATCAAATCAAATTTAGATAATAGTTGAAGAAAATAAAATAAATAATTTAAGATATATCTTCACAAGGAATAAAAAAGTAAAAATAAAGACTATTCCAAGAAAATAAATGGTTTTATAATGTATATATTTATATATTTTTTCTTTGATTGGTTTTGTTCGGTTTATTCGGTGTAATCGGTTATAAACCTAACTATATCCAAATCCTACGGTTTTTATAAAATTATATTCATTCGGTTCATATGGTATATACCAAATTCAAACCATATTATCTATTTTGGTTCAGTTCGGTACGATTCGGTATTACCATATTGAACAGCCCTACCCTACGGATGAAATTGAGAGCGCTTTGACAAAACACTTCTATTGTTGTGGAGTGATCACCCATGTTTTTGTCTCTACTAGCGGTAAGCAGACTAACATCTATTTTAGCCAACAAGAAGGAAAATCTAGGGCGCTGGATCTTCGTGGAATGAAGTGGGAGGATTCAAAATAGCTGTTACACGCCTAGCTATGATCAGAAGTAACCATCGCCCTGCCAACGGTCCAGTTGGTTTGGGCTACTCTGTCCCAGGTACATTGAAAAAATTGTTTCTAAGGTAAAATCTTCTTTTGAATTCTTGTGTTTTGTTACAAAAAAAAAAAAAAAAAAAAAAAAAAAAAAAAAAA